TAAACTGTTAAAATGAGGGGTATTAATCTAAAATGAGGAACTTTAGAAGTTATCCTCTGGATGTATATAATTTCATAACATTTGATTACTAAAATCTCTATATTATCCTAATTTCAAGCTTTTATTTGACCAATTAATTGTTATTAAATCGATTCCCCGTAGATAAATGTCTGAATTATTTACATACTAAGATTATATTATGTATACAATCAAGTGAGTTTGTAAGTCTTGACAACTAAAAACTTTGCGATATACTCTTTTAATCTACCAAGAGTTCTGAATGGCAGTTTTCAGGGTAAAGAATATATTACGAGCTATCGATTGTTTGGCACAAAATAAACAGTTTTAGAGAAATTATATTCATCAAATGGGTATAATCAATAGTTATAACCTGGATAAGACTTTGAGTTGTAGTTCCATTCGATTAACTGAATCACGATTAAAGTGACAAAAAAAAACTTAGTGAATCATTGAATAAAGTAAAGAAGTCATAATAGAGTAAATTTCCTTATGATGATGTTATTTCCCTTATGGTAATTATTGTTTACTCGTAGGTTGATATGATGATTAGAAGTATTCGAATTAATGTATTAACTAATAATTCCCAAAATAGTACAAATTAAGCCAAATAGAACTAGATGAGTACAAATTAACATATTGTATTTAGAATTAGGAATGAAGCGAAAAATCAAGCACAAAAGAATCATCAGTTGATACAAACATTACAGGTGAACAAACCAAGCATATCAATTCAACGTTAAATGATGAGATGTGCTGACGGGTGCACACTACCAACCATGATTCAGTTCAACTTTATTAGCATATATATATATATATATATATATATATATATATATATATATATATATATATATATATATATGAATGTATTTGTTTATGTATATCTCCATTTGGTTACCCGCTAAATGCTTCTTAATCATTCTTGATTTTCTGGTTTGTCTTGGGTATATACTTAACGATCGTCGATTAATTCTTTTCATGAGTTTAGTGATGTAAGAATTGTTGGAACCATCAAGTTAGTATCATGTTATGCTTAAAGAACCAGGCTGATAATCGTCATATATCACTCACAAACTTTAAAAAAAGAACTATTTGTAGTTTCAAAATTCACTTATTATTAATGAAATATTTTGTCTCCATTCTAGGCATCACCGTCGAATTATGAAAGATTGTATGATAAGCAAACAACTATTTACTATAGTTGGGAGTAACATGATACAAGCAACAAAGATATCAAGTATCTTTACATATATTAGCAGTAATAAACTTATTCTCATGATGTAAAGCAATATAATCCAGCTAGATAGTTCTGATTTATTGTTTTGAGGATAGTATAGGGTATTGAAGTTATCGATATTATTAAATAATTTATAGTATACAAACAGTTTACTACAATATATAGTATAATCAGATTGGTTGAAAAACAGGACTTCTTATGTTGTCAGTTTAATCAAACCAATGAACTGTATGATCTTTACAACGTAGCTTGTCTCTGGGTTATCCACACGAAATTCTTGATTGTTAAGGTCAAGCGTAATTTTTTTCAACTTGAAATGTTTAAGCTAAAATTATTGAGCTACTTATAAATTTTGAGTAGGATAAACTGAATCTCAAAAAAGAAGGATTGGAGTTCATTGAACTAGTGATGTAAATTAAAAATCAGACAGTGTCCACTTACCTCTTATACTAAAAATAATCGTGTGACTTAAAGATGAAATATTAGGATTTCAGTTGAGAAGCTGTAATAGATGGATCACAAGGATAAATAGGGGATGAGAAAGGAATCCACAAAGGCCACACAATATCGCGAATTCACTGGTGTAAGAAATGCAAATCACTGACCGCTTGTTCAGTGATTTTAAATTTAGGGATTCACTACCGAACGTGATGACCATGATTGTGAAAGCTTATTTATTATTGAATTCGTAAAAAATGAGAACCATACATTAAATACATTTTTTGCACATCTTCCTTCAGTTGCCCTTTACAAGTTTCATGGTTCTTCCAATTCTGTTATTACAACTGATTTCTATTACCCTTCTTGTTCTCTTGAATTCAATCTTCTGATGGTAGGAATTCTACTTCCGATTGGTGTTACTTACTGCTTATATCTATCAGCAGAAGTAACACACACCACAGAATCAGTTCACAATGTAACACCTCTATTTCAATAATCTCCTATGCTAACGGGGCAGAATTACTCAAATAATTACAATTGGTTTGAAAGTCTCACAATCTCAATATTTTTATGGTTTGTTATTCTTAACAAGTAGTATAACCATTTTATGACTTACCTATTGCTACATGTGATATTTAGTTATTTCAACGAACTAATTATTTTATCTATTTATGCGTTCATTTCAATATCTCGGCTAATTCTTCTATTTAGAATTGTCCTTTTTTCTGTACACACTACTGTTTACAATCATATTTAATTCAGACTATTTCACTACCTCAGAGATGCAACACTAAAATTAATCTCGTTGTTTGATATTTGTGTTAATTATAAACGTGTGTTGTCTTTGATTTATAATATTTTTCAATCTATCTATATTTATGATGTGCTTTAAGTGTTTTTGAAAGTAAAGTAGACACCTAGACACAGAACCTTTTGATTGACTTGTTAGTTCTCAGTGTTTATTTAATTTTCTACTACGGCGTTGTACTGTTGAGCAAATCAAGTATATAGGTTATACAATAGCAGTCTACTTACTGCAAAAAGAAGACAAGAATGAATACTAACGAAAGTAATGATACATCTAGAACCAAACTCTCACTTTTTTCATTATTTCTCACTTTTGATATAACGTGGCACCAGCACATCAAGTCGTTGATCAATAATTTATTCATCCTGGTAGATACAGACTATTTAGTTGACTTCGCTTTAACAGAAGTTAGTGTTGGGTGATTTGGCTTGCAATCGGTCACAATGGGGCAGATGTATTTACTCTTTATCTTACCCTACACTTTAGGTTTCGGTATTCTCTAGATACATATCTCATTCTGTTCTCATAAATCATATACTTCTTGATTATTACTGCTATCAAAATGATTTGAACCTCTTGCCATTTATTTAATTATTTTCATTTTGTTGTAATTGAAAAAATTGAAAAAATCCATGTTTATGCAAAGTTCTACGTTGATTATGACTAATTGATAACTTGTTGCATATTTTCACTCTTCTACTACTAATTATTTACAACTGATTGACCACTGAGTAGTGACCAATGAGATGTATGTCAAGTTCTTCTTGATGTGAATCGAATTCTACCGATCAAGTTACAATGTGATCATTAGTTTAAGTGATTCGACATCATGTGCACTGCGTTGAGATGTAAGGTGGTGTCTAGAGGTAGTCAACAGGAAATCCTGGGCCTAGGTTTTGTATTATTTCGCACTCGTCAGTAAGGTGTACCTGTAATCTTGAGGGAAATGATACTCCCTGTCGGATTGATCACTAAGTGGTGAACAATGTCATGTATATCAGGTGCTTACTTCTGACTGTGAAGCTGGGTGACAAGTGGTCGAATCCGACAAGGAGTATCATTTCCTTCAAGATCATAGATACACCTTGCTGACGAGTGAGAAATAACACAAAAGTCCAGGGTTTCCTGTTGATTACCTCCTACCACCAACTTAATATTTAACATCATTCACAATCAACTCTACATGAAGTTATAAATGGATTATTTGATAGCCATGTAGTTCTTACAAAATATTTTACTTTTGTTCCTTTCACCATGACAACGACTAGACGTTTCATCAGCTTTTAATTGATTGTCAATTAACAAATAACTGATCAGTCATTAAGTAGTGACCAAGATCATATTTATCCAGCCGTTTAGCAGTAAGTGAATTCTATCAAACAAGTGGTAATGAGGACATTAGTCTATGTGAATCGACATCACGTATATTGTAACAAGACACCAGCTAGTTGGTAACATCATAAATTGTGGAACTAAGTGGCACAAGTTCGAATCCCATGAGGAGCATCAATTCCCTGGAGATCGCACGTACGCCTTGTTGACGAGTGTCAACTAGTGAAAAACCCACGCACACAATTTCCTGCAAATTACCGTCAATCAACTAACATTAGAAATGTTTAATTGTGTTAGCATCAACGGGATTCTATCGAGCAAGCTTGAATGTAACTGCGCAAAGAAACTAACTGGTATTTAATACTGGATGATGGATGGATGGACATGAAAAATTCAGATTAGAATTTGGGAGAGCACAAACAGTGGATGCACCTCCACTATTGCAAACGATTTTCAGCCATGTTACACAACGTCTCTAACCATCCGTTGCTATCATATCGCCGATCCCAACCAGATAGTCTACACCTATCAACATGACTCAGTCCACTTATCAGTGACTTCATGGACTTGTGCAATGTTTTGGTCTGGCCACTCCTAGCTTTCTTCCAACCTACTCCTACTCCTACACAACAAAACATCGCTCATCGGGGCAGTCGGTGGTAGGGGATACGTAACACGTGTCCAAGCCATCTCAACTGATGAAGTTGCACTACTTCATCAATCGATTTGCCATCCTTACCTAGTACCCGATTTCTAACAACTGCATTACATACTCGATGGTTCCAGGATATACGAGCAATGTTTCGAAGACACCTATGATCGAATACTAGTAGCCTACGAATACCCTCTGCTCTTACCGGCCATGTTTCACTGCCATAAAGAAGGACGGAACGAACTGATGCGCAGTAAACTCGTCCTTTGGTTGGTAGACGGATATCTAGCCTACGCCATAAATGACACAAGTTGGAAGTGAAAGCGATTATTCTTTAATACAGCTTTCAAACCTAGTTTAGTTACCATTATCAGGACGTATTGAAAAAAATCTGAGGAACTACAGATCTGTTTTAAAACTTAAACTAGAATTGCTGAATATGGCTGGAGATACTGATGTTATATCTCTATATAAGTTAACAAATACATAACTCAATAAAAAAAAAGCAATTTTTCTATCCAAAAATCAAATTTATCAAAATAATGAAGAAAACCTCTCTTTTGGTTACATTTTTGTTTTGTTTACAAATCATAAAAGGGATTGTCTAAAATTATTTATTATTAAGAGTAACCTTATTATTTTCGTCAGCGTGAACTTTTCCATCGGGTATGCCTAACACATGTAGACAAACTAATACAGCTGCTTGTTCAGCATACTTTTTTGATTTACATCTGTTAAAAGAAAGAAAGTATTTTTTTTAAAGATAGAATAAATAAACAATTACAGTAAACTGAACATAGAAGCTTCGGTTTATACAATATACGGTTAACAGTGGAATCTAGAAAGTGTGTTTTGGACTAAGTGAAACTCATTAGCTGAATGTATGCCTGCTTTAATGTTGATTTTTACACACTGGGAATAAAATCAACGCCTTTCTCTTTACTATGAACATCATCATTAAGATGTTGGTATATAAACTGACGAGTCCTTAGTAGTTCGATATGTGTGTTCTGAATTTTGCTGCTTTGAGTTATACTACAAAAAGGTATTTAATTACTGAGTGCAATCGAAAAATAGAACAATCCACATTCGATTTTGACCAGAAGTCAGTAAATTTTGAGAATGACACCTTGCATGAATGATATATTATCGTCATCGCTTATACTATGAATTTATTTACAGAAGTTATACAACATAGTGACTTTTGCAATTGCGGGATTGAAAGGAAAGAGATCAATAAATGAAACTTAAAACTTTTAAAGACATTCTTATAGGTCGCTAGTTAATTTAAACAACTAATCAGTTGATTATCATAGAGAGCATATAACATGGTATGAATATGCATTAGACTAAGTTGCCATAACTTATAGAAGTATAGAAAGATGGGAAGTAAACGAGACAAATCATTTTCAACTGTGTAAAGGAAATCTAGACATCTAAAGATTCCAAGTTCTAAAAGAACAAATGAGATCAAAGAATGAAGGGTTATAAATGACATTTAAATAGAGATTTAAATGAAGATAAAAAATGAATGAATACAACTGGGACACAGTGACACAATTTAGACTGTACAACCGAAAGCTTTAAAATATACGTTAAGATCATTAAGAAAAATACAAATCAAAGACTTTATAACATCTACCGAAGTGGTTTAGGTCAACATTCAAAGGACTTATGTTTCAAATAATCAAGTAGACTATCACAACATATTACGACAACCAGTTGAATATTTTCAATAAAAAATGGGAAACCCCATAAACTGTAAGATCAAAAATGTAGTAGTTTACCATTTTACAGCTAAACTGTCATATGATTATGCAACTTGATTCGGTCATTTTAAAAAAAAGAGAGATCTACACAACAAATGTGGATAGATAACAACATTATACATACTAATTACTACATATTACTTACGCACTGGTATTTCGATAACGTTTACCATTCACTAAAACAGTACTAAAAAATGATCTTTTGTTACGATCTTCAATCTACAAATTTTACAGAGACACAAACACACATTTGGAATGACAATAACAGATCATTTTAGCGATTATTATAACATACAATAATTTTATAAAAACGGTATGACTTCTCGTATCTTTCAAACGACTAATAATCGTGGTAATGTAATTCGATATAAGTCTAATGTAGAGTTAATTTCATTGGGTATAAAGTGGTTTATGTGTAAAAATGTGTTTCATTTTATTGTTAATCCTCCCAGTCAATCAGCTACAACGTAGGACTAGGCACATATATGCATCGGTCCAAGTTGCCACATCTTATTAGCACAACAAGATGAACATCAAATTCATAGTAGTTACTTCAATGGTAGTAATATATACAAAAGATTGCATATAAGGATATGATACAGGGAGAATGAATTAGTTCGTAGAAAGAAAGGTATAGAGTAGTTTTAATCTCACAGTTTAAGGGAAGACAGAGAGTGTATACACCGACTCCATTGTGATCGATTCTGAAATATGTCACATAGAGTTTCCAACCATTGGTTACGATAGTCATGCAGACCCCAACCAAGTAGTCTGCATCTACCAACATGGCTCAGATAGGAAGTTAATGACTTTACGGACTGATGCTACGTTTTGGCTTGGCCACCTCTAACTTTCTTCCAACTGTCTCCAACACTAGTCAGCATTGCTCAGTATACTACGGGATGAGTTTGAATGGGTGAAAATAAGGTTCTATTACTAAGAGAGTAACTAAAAACATTTCTAGCTACTAATGGTAAGGTAAGAGTCTGCAGCACAAACTAACCACCAACACTATTAAAGTGTACAGACGGGAATTTGTTTGAAGGTAATTTGCATGATAGTGACATGAAGGGAAGAAGTTCGTGGTCATCCGTTGATTTTTAGACCTTTATTCTAATCTGTGCTAATAATTCCTTGCTGTTCAACAAGTCAGTAATAAATATATTTCTTGCTATATCTCAATGAGTACAAAAATGGCATTTTTAACGTTTCGTGACTTAATGTAAACTAATTCTTTAAAGGAAATAAATCTTATTATTAACTTTCTACCCAATACTCATTTTATTTGAAACCATCAAATCCAGTGATACCTACAAACTCATTGTTTAAGTCGTTATGAATTCAGACTTCTTTATTACACGCTTAACCGGCTCACTTGATAATAGAACCTGCTAATTGTAAGTTCGCTCACGTTAATCAGAACAACGACCTTCTCTTTAACCAATAACACAAATGACCATGAATCCTAACTCTTCTTATTTTGCAAAGCTCCTTTTTTCTATTCCTTAGTATCCAATCAAAAGGCGAATACAGGAAGATTTGTCTTCTTTTAGTGTATCATTATCCTGATTTGAATTAGCTTGATTTAATATTTTGCGTGTAAATGATAGCTTTAGTAATCAGTAAGGTGTTTGATATGAAAAATATAACAGAGACTAAAGTAAACAAGAGAAAAATCACTATTATACTTAGTATACAAGCTCATTTTAAGTATTAAAATAAGATATAATTAAAACTATAAATAATGTCAAAATGTCTCAATGTTACCATTGACAAGCTCTACTTCAAAAGTATACAAACTGAGTAATTAAAGTTTCTGGTGAAACTCGGTGAAAAACTGTCAAGACTGCAAAGATGATCCAAGATCAAAATGAATGTTGACCACTAGTGTTGATGAAAACGTTGAAAAGTGTACCATCATGAGTGCTTTTCGGCTACAGACTAACTGTCTAAATAATTACTGATTAACTGAATTTGTGAGAAAAATTGCTTGAGTATAAGACTTCAGAAAAACATGAAATTTCTGAAAAAAATTCGGATTGTAGAGATCAATAAATTTTAAAATGTATATCCTAGACAATAAGACTTACAGTTTCGTATTTAGGTGAATCCCATTTTAATAATTTACAATGTTCACGAAGTATTTGTTTTGGACTAGTTCCATGATCAGGCCAAAATCTACGTTCATATGGAATAGAGAGTACAGTTTCTTCGAAATTATTTATTTTTACCCCAAGCACATTATTATCATTCACTAATACTGTTGTAGTATTTAATAAATGTTCTTCTACACGAGGTCGTTTCTCTGGAACTGAGAGAGAGTCAGAAGAAACTGATAGTGAAGGAGATGAAATTATTTCTTGATTACAATTAACTGTTGAATTGTTTAATGTAAGTTGATGATTCTTTAAACGTTCTAATCGATTAGACATTTCATGATCGTAAACATCTAACATATTCCATATGGCACTAGATGAACACAATAGTAATAATAAGTATTTGATTTATTAAGAAAGGGAAATAAACGGAATAAAGTATGTACAACAATTTTCAAAATAAATAAATAAGAAAGTAAGCAAATTCAGTTAGTCTGTTGCAACGTAGAACGTGATTTGTATGTACATCGGTTCAAGTTGCCATATTCTATTAGTACAGGGAAATAAAATTGTCAAGTTAAATCCAAGAATGGTGGAGGTATTCACAGTATTAGTGGTAATAGAAAAGATTAGGCATCAAAGATACTAGTCGAAAAGTAAATATAATTTAACGAAATAAAAACAAGAAAAACGTTATAAGGAATCCAAAATCTCAGAATTTTAGAGGAGACAAAGAATAGATGAGCCTGCGCTACTGCAAACGATTCTGAGGCATGTGATTTAAAGTCTCTAACCACTAGTTACAATAAGTAAATTAGTTTGAGCTTGACACTAAAATCGAGTAGGTTAATGATGTTAGGAATAGAAGTGTACTAGATGAACGATTGATAGATAAATTGCTAGGAATACTTCGAATTATCTAGTTTTTTAAAAACTTCTGTTCATATAAATAACTGTTCTGACGTGTCAGGAAAGCCGTGGTTTTTTTCTTCTTATTTAAACACCTCCACTAATCTTCGTCGTGGTCTGATAAGTTGTTCTAGCTCTTATTTAGATAATTCTATATTTCACGGTCATGTCTGTTGTTATGATTGTATGGAAGACTACTAAGCGTGAAGTATTGTGGTGCACCATTCATTCAATCTACTTAGTTTGCATAGATCCAATTTCGTACTAGAAGAATCCCCTAATCGTTTGTTACTCAAAATTACCCTAGGCCACAATCAACATAACATTAATTATTTGTAAATTTGCAAGATTTGTAGTAGAACTTCCTTTGAGTAAACCTATTTAACTACTATACAGATTTTTAATAAGATAAAAACTATAGTTTATCTATAAAATAAAGAAATTGTTAGGGGTAAATGAAAAAAAGGAGGAATATAAAACCTCAACGAATTAATTCATTTTTTATGTTAGTTGTTTGAATCACACGTCAACTGTGGGATGCAGGTACACCCAGCTGACGAGTCCCAAATAGGACGAAAAGCGTAACATAGATTCCACTGCTAGCCACCATCCATCTCTGATTAAATAAATTAGTTCGTCCATTTTTCAATAAGTATTCTTTGATCAAACCGTTGATTTTAAGGTAATATTTTTATATGAAATTATTTATTTACAGTAAACTGTCTTCGAAATCATTATGATTATTACTACATCATTCACTAAGTAGAAATAACAATCAGCTAACTATAAATACATAAACAGAATTATCTAATTTTGGTGGTAAAAATAGTTTAGTTATTCACTTGATAAAGTCAGTATATTGTTAGACAATAAGGTTAACTATTTCATTCGTTTAATCAAAATAGTATACAGTTACATGGGCAAATAGAACTCATTAGACCGTCTGTTACTTTAACTGAAGGTCTTTACACAAAAATTGAGAATCTGAGTAACATATATTAATTATCTAAAACATACTATTTATCAGATTAGTGGTATAAGTAGATAGATAAGGCATCACTAAGCTTCACACATGCACATAAACACAAAAATGTGCCCTAATAGATACATAGAGATCTGTATATATTTAGTTACTGAGTGGTAAATGCATCCCACAACTTGGAAGTTAACATTTTACACGTAGGTAACGAAAAAGTCGAGTTAATGAGTTTATGGATAAGTGTTAATATTTGACTTGATTGATCACTATGGGGTTTTTTTCACTCTGTTAACTAGTTTGATTGCAATCATAGATTGAAAGAGGCGTTAATTAGACATATCCAAATACAATAATTTAAAATTCTATAGATAATTTCCAAATATGTGGCTAACAAGTTTATAAAGATTGGTTTAATTAATGTGTTGTGCTTTACTGAAAAGTGATTGATGCTAGAAATGTAAACCATTGAATTACGATTTCTTGACTTGAAAAAGTGACGCACCCTGCAAGAGACTTGAAGGTTTTGGATTTGAGCCCTGATGAAGCCATCAGTACGTACTACTGTGTATATTAAGTACAACTTTAAGAAATCTATCCAATTATGAGTTGCAATAAACAGATATGTAGATATACAAACAAAATCTTATGTTAATTAATAAATCTGAACTGAAATCAAATTATAAATACCATAGATCACGTAGTTCATTCGAGGCTAATACATCTTCATATATCGGTGTACCACCGAAATCGTGTAACATCCGTAAAACACAATACTTTGCACCAGCTATATGATGATCATAACGAACAGACTAAAAATACAATAATATACAAACAGCATAGAAGATAAATTTAATGTTGGTTAACTTTGTAAAGAGATATTTATATATATGTATATTGAGATAATACAAAAAGAGGTGACGTTAGTCTCAAAGAGCTTTAATTAAAAATGTAAAGCACTAAGCTACAAGCAACCACGAAACAATTAATTTAAAAGGAATGCAGAATGGTATCTGAAAGTATTTATGGCTTAAACGGTTGGTAAAAGAAAAAACCAATCTGTAACATATTTTCAGTTTTATTTAAAACATGATGGCCAACAAATATATAAGTTTTATTTCATAATGTCTAGCTTACAGAAAAGTATTCTTAAAACTAACTATGTAGAATAACAACAAAATTACCGTTTCTGCAAACATTCAACTCGTGAATATTTAAAAACTATGCATAGAAAGGTTTGCTTTTTTTAAAAAAAACTGTGACTTGTTCTCTGAAGAAGTGTCTTACACTGAGTCACAAAATGTCAGAAAATTTAATTTTCTATTCAATAGGTTATTACAAGTACATCATTATTTTTATTATTAAAAATTTTCACAGTTGAATTCGTGAAGCAATCTAAGCTAGACCACCAGTGAAAACCTAGAAGCGCTGGACGGCCGTTTCATCCTAGTATAGGACTCCCCAGTAGTGCGCACCAACGATCTCGCGTGCGGGGTTCGAAACCAGGATTATCGGTCTCGTAAGCGGATGCTTAACCATTAGACCACTGAGCCAGCATCTACTCGTGAGTTCAACTGAGAAAATGCAACAATCTCGACAAATCCCCATACTGATATTAACAATTGTCTCAATTTATTTGAAAAACTAATTAACTGTCATTTATATATATCCATGATTGTTTACAATTAGTATTGTGCCTATGGAATTGTTTTTCTTTTTCATAGTATAAAATACATAATCGATGAATTCTAAAGTAATTGTATCTGATTTCTCGATCGAAAAAATAAAGAGAAAATCATAAGAATAACTGTGGTAATAGTGAATTTCTCAGTATCTCAATTTGCTACAGATTGTAAGCATCTTATGAATCCACGTGAGTACATGCGGTTTACAAATGAAATTGATCAATTAAAACAATTCTACAACGGGAATATTGAAGTTAGTAAGTTTACATTTAGAAATATTTTGCCGTCAGTAGTTTAAGCAAATCATCAATTATGATGGATGCCCATTAGGAATGAAAGTTGATGGGTTATTGGTTATAGTGTGGTGTGTGCTACTCATATGACATAAGTAGTATATGATGTTAGTCGTAAACAGAAGGTTTGGAAGCAGAGAGACAAGAGGATCGAACAGTAAAGAATGGAAACAAAATGAAATTTGTATGAAAATGCAAGGACAATGAAGTCTGAGTCACTTTGAGACAATTGGTGGACATTTTGCAAATTAAGCATTTACTTTATGATTGTTAGATTTTATTAATAAGTCCTGTAATTTTGTGTTAAATACATTCCATTGTCCCCACTGGTGTTCTCGTTCACTACAATAGTATTCGACAACCAATCATTTAATAGCAAGTTAAGATAGTGCTCGGGCAGAAAGATATTTGTTACAAATCTTCCCATAAAAACCTTTGCTCTAAATCTGAAAATATAAATTTGTACTAAAAGATGGATAAGTTGAATTTGTTCCAAGATGCTCAGTAGATGGACAAAACCAAAAGTAAACAATTCACTTGATGATAACAGAGCTGAACAATTGAGAAAAGATGAAAATGGACATCTGAAGCGACCATTAGGAAACGGAAGTAATACAAATCAAAGTACTGAGAGAGGTGATGGGATTTTACGAGAGAACATTGTAACAAACACTTTTGAACAAATGCTAGTTCAATGGTCTTTCGGTGATGGTTGCTAGCCAACTTTAATTAATAGTGGGAGATGTATTAATAAATAGTGATTTAAAGTGTATGTTCTTTTGTGTATTGTCTGATTCTGATATTGATACACAAGCTTCCTATACATGAGCCCAACTAGTTACACGAGGGAAGAGACCAAAAGTGAAAAGGAGGCTTCCATTGATTAACCAAATCGAGGAATAACCATGTACTCAGTCATATATATATATATATATATATATATATATATATATATATATATATATATATATATATATATATATTCGTCCCATGGAAATTTGAGCCACACTCTTCCACGAATCGCATGCATAATATCCCCTAGTAATAGAAATCATATATTGGCCAATATCGTGCCCTCAACATCTGATGAATGGTTGGCTGAACAACTGCATCGGTATACTAGTGACGAGAAGGATAGTCTCAACATACTGCACCAAACAAAAAAACGTCATGAAAAATATATGTATATGCCAGGTTAACACAACATGAAAATAAGCCTGATCAGTATTGTTAAGTAATACACAACAAAAAACCATATACAAAAAAGAAACATTGTTTACCAAAGTTAAATATCTACAAATAATTTCCTCAAGTTTAGGTAATGGTTCATCAACTTGAAGTGATTTGAATATGGCAGGATTCCACATAGCAGCTCTGGCTATAACAACACCGGTTGCACTAGTCAATTGTCGAAAATATTCAATATCTTCATGATTTCTAATTATATCACGAGAACCACCACTTAAATGAAGATAAACAAAATAGAAATAAGAGAAAAATACACAATAGAGGATAATTTTATTCAAACAAGCAGAAAAAACAATGTTAACACATAATAACTATGTAAATAGCTAATTATCCCCAAAGAGTAGCGCAACAGATTATTAGTCAGTTAATCATTATGACAAAGATTTATACCTATTCTACTAAATTAGCACTGTATTGCTACAAAGAAACATAATGCATGAAGGTAGAATACATGTGCAGGCTATACGTTCTTCATTATAGGTATCCCTGAATCATTACTCGCCTTTCATGGAAAAATCAAATGAGTAATGTTGAGTTTAAGTATACAGTAATACAAAAAGATTGCAAATCGGTTGATGAGGTAGTATGTTTCAATTGATAGAGATAGTCAGGGCGTTTATTACGTATGCCATAATACTGTCTCAATAGGGAAATCCCTAGTCCTGACTACAATATATACCAATCATTTTTACTAAAAATTGATCAATCGGATCGGTAATATGTGTACATATATAATCGTTTAAAAGTCTCCATTATATTTAAACTAATAAGAGAATAGTGTCTTTGACAGAGGTATAAATAATGGCCACATGATGTGCAGGGTTTTAATGGAAAAATACTGCGAGTTCCACATAATCAAACTACTTACAACTGATTATTGATATGTTAGATGGTTGGAGGTAGTCAGTAGGAAACCCTGTATAAGAACCTAGATTTCGTGTTATTTAGCACTCGTCAACAAGAGGTGGCTGAATTCGTGGGGGAATTGATATCCTCTGTGGTATTCAGACCTAAATCACTCAACTTCGCAGCCTGAGGCGTTACCACTGAGCTATTTGAATCGCAACAGACCGCCTGAAGGACTGAAATATTTTCAACTGGTTAATTATTGAGTAATAACCAGTATTATATTTGCCTAGTCCTCACCATCAGTTACCGTAGGATTACAATTGTGCTATTTTTAACACTCCACTCTCCAAACTAACTTGACAATTCTGAACTGTGTTTCTCAAATTTAGATTCCCGTTTCCTTTTCACTCCATCAATTACTAATTTTCTGTCTCGCAGTTCAGATGTGAAGTGTGGCCATTGGAACTGACACATCACCATGCCGAATTCTACTTTGTTGATTAGGCCTGATTCAATGACCAACGCAAAGATACTGAGTGGTAAACTGATAACATTTCATTAGTAGAAATTCTACTACGTACCCCAATTTTCATCAAGAAAAGGTCATTTGACAACTTTTAAAACTGTATTTGACTTCATACTTCAAGAAACGAATATTAACAAGCTATAATTATGATACAAACACAAATATATATAACTCAAAATTTATTCACACTGTCATCTATCTGCTTACTTTGCTAAAACAGGTATACCTACTGAATGAGCTATTGCTTGAATAACTTCATTACGATTCCGATGCATTGAACGTTCATTGATTGTTCTACCGTGTATTGTGATCGCTGCAACACCTGTCGATTCAATTAGCTTAGCCAAAGCAATTGTTTTTTCTAACTATAATAAATTTAAAGAACAAAAAATGTAATTTATACTATTTCATATTCACTGGATGTTTGAATTTTCCATTTTTTTTAATAAATAACTTAATTATTTTAATTCTGAAACGTCAGTAATCGAAGACGGATACACCCAGATAAATATACAGCCAATTTCAGTCAAATGGTTAAGTTGAAATACTAATGGATAGATTTAAGCGAAAGAACGATAATTAAAAGTCTCGATAATTTCCTGTTATTCTACCGGACAACACTAAATCAATTACCACTGAACCAATAGTCTACATCAGAAATCATGATTAACCAGAAGCTTGAAATGGCTCTCAACGCAATAAAACCTAAGCTATCAAGAAACGGAAGGAACAAGAAAATTGAAATTCAATTCAATCGTCACCATAAGCGTAGCCTCGAATATGTGGAATCAACTAAGTGTATGTTTGTAACTTCTGACATTCACTTTTACAGTGTACCATTGGGGGAGTATTTAAGAGACAAAGAGACGTAATGTAAACGGCAGAAGTAGAAAATCAAAAGTGGATATGACGTACTAGTGAAATATGAGAATCTTCAAAAAATAGTATGAAGAACGTAGAAAAAAATTAATATTGTCAGTATGAGATTTTGAAAGATGTTACACCGCATTAAAACCACGAACCTGTCAGAATTTCTTACAAAGATCCCCATGAAAGTGAAGAAGATTAGGGACTTTAGATCAATCCAAAAAGAAGGCCAGTCATATCACTCGATCGGTCAGACAGAAACAGATAGAACGGGATTCGATCATACGACATAGTAGTTGAAAGTTGATCACCTTAACCATTAAGCTATAGATTCATGTTATTATACCGACGGTTCAAGTTCTGACAGTGAATATCAAACACAACAAAGTCAAAAAAGATTGAGTAGAGAATGAATTTTTTTATTATGATACATCTGCAGCATTTAAAGTAGGAAATTACATGTTCTTAGAGTAACCCATGAGAAGAAATCATCATACAAGGTAAGAGAGATAGGGACTTGGCAAATTATATAAAATACCAAATTTATACAATTAATTATATCCAAGTGTGAGTTATAATAAATAACTGAATTATTCATCTAGACAATACCGTCTTCTATATTTTCATTATCCTAGGGGTCGTCCTGGATTATATATATAGCTGACGGGCATCTTTGCAACAAATGAATTCATATCGACCTAATTGCCTACCAATTTTACCATTTGTAATTTAATTCAAACTATTTTAATTACCCAATTAAAGCATAGCATGATAACATATCATCATCACATACTTCAGGTAAAATCCTCATTTTACAAGTAACTGGAATTCGGAGATTTGTAGTCAAAGTAGTAAGAATCTACAAACAAAAATAATGAGGACTGTTTAGCTCAAGGGACTCTAAAGAGATTACTTTGACTTGCATATAGTATTCGTCACGGATTTCTTAAGTTTGGGATACGAATGAAAAGCAGGAAGAATTGGGCAACTGTTTTATCCTTAAAAATGAGTACTCACAATTCTTTCAGGGATCGGATCAGGAATCTCTAAACCGTCGTCCAATCGCACAATTCCAACTTTAGTTCCTGGTAGGTTCGTTGGTATGCACTGCTAAAACGTCATAACACTAGAATAAAACAACCCTTCGATTCTCCCTGATTTTCAGTGGTATGCAACATAAGATCAATCTGTGACGAATATAATTACCTACAAATAATGTGAATGATAAATATTCAGGTAGATGAAATACTACTTATATTAGATATAAAATTTTATTTGTAAAATATCTCACCGATGGAAATTAAGTAAATTTTAACACATTTCATTCAAAAGTCTCATCTGGGCTTCTTCAGGAAAATAAGTAGAATCATCAAATGTATTGAAGATTTACTTGAATATGCCCACCATCAAGTCACAAAATAATTCAGTGAAGACGTTTTTCAATGAGTTCATTTAAAATATATGTCAAATTATGTTTTCTGTCTTCTGCTTGGTACTTATTTTACGTAAAACTGAACTCATTTCAAACTTGATGAAAATCTATATAAATACTACTTATATATAAACCATAATGGGGGATATTGGCAGTTTGAAATATAAACATCGATTTACGAACAGTAGTCATCATGTACCAATAGAATTGGGTGTTGTTATTCTTCAACTTTGTAACTATATCTAACAGTGAAATCCAGGAGGCGCATTTCATTTAATTTGGGACTTATCAGCTGAATATATCTGTATCCCAACATCAGTCAGTAACAACGTAGGACTTCGTACGGATATAAATCAGTTCGAGTTGCCATACCACATTAGCACAGAGATGCAGTTGTCGATTCAAATCCCATAGTGGTAGAGGTAGTAAGAGTCTAAGCAGTAATCAGAAACATTAGGGTTTGAAGATATTATTCAAGGAGTAAAATCCAGTGAAATAAATTTCGAAAGAGGAAAAAGAGACAAGGAGGAATCAGGAGATTAAAATTTGGGAGAACACAAACAGTGGATGCACCTCCACTATTGCAAACGATTTTCAGCCATGTCACACAACGTCTCTAACCATCCGTTGCTATCATATCGCCGATCCCAACCAGATAGTCTACACCTATCAACATGACTCAGTCCACTTATCAGTGACTTCATGGACTTGTGCAATGTTTTGGTCTGGCCACTCCTAGCTTTCTTCCAACCTACTCCTACACAACAAAACATCGCTCATCGGGGCAGTCGGTGGTAGGGGATACGTAACACGTGTCCCAGCCATCTCGACTGATGAAGTTGCACTACTTCATCAATCGATTTGCCATCCTTACCCAGTACCCGTTTTCTAACAACTGCATTACTTACTCGATGGTCCCACGATATACGAGCAATGTTTCGAAGACACCTATGATCAAATACTAGTAACCTACGAATATCCTCTACTCTTAACGGCAACGTTTCACTGCCATAAAGAACGACAAAACGAACTGCTGCACAGTAAACACGTCCTTTTGTTGGTAGACGGATATCTACCTCACGCCATAAATGACGCAAGTTGGCAAAAGCCAAGCGAGCCTTCTGTATCCGTGCTGAGATTTCGTCACACACCAGACCATAAGGGCTGGTCAGAATCCCAAGATTAGTAAAGCGGTAGACACGCTGAACTACTTCACTCCCTATCACTAGTTCGGGTGTCGATGTAACCCAATCCTGAAGCAACATTTTGCATTTCGAGGGAGAGAATCGCATCCCGAACATGCTTGCATTGTTGTTTAGAGTGGTCAGAAGACTCTGTATTTTGTCAGCGTCTTCACCAAATAAAACTATGTCATCTGCATATTCTAAGTCAACAATTGAACCTCCCAGTAGAAGTTCAACCCCTGTAAATTTAGATGAGGAGAGTGTTATCTCTAAAAGCATGTCTACGATAAACTTAAACAAGAATGCAGAGAGTGGGCAGCCCTGACGAACACCACGAGGTAATCAATTCTGATGACAGTTCGCCATAAGCTCTCACTCGACCAGTTGTGTTCGAGTAGAGAGCCTTTACAAGGTTAATGTACTTCTTTGGTACTCCTTTCAGTGACAAACACTGCCATAGAACCTCACGATCAACCCAGTCAAATGCTACCTTAAGGTCGAGAAATACTACGATTGTGTGGCGTCTGAATGTGTGTCTATGTTCTAGAACCTGATGTAGTGTGAATATCTGGTCTATACAACCACGTCCAGGTCGAAAACTAGCCTGGTTTTCTCTAGTCTGCTCTTCACGAGCTTTGGTTAGGCGTCAAAGTATTATTGAAGCTAATATTTTAGACACTATATTAGTCAAACTGACTGGCACAATCAGTGATTGAAACCAGTCAGATGGGATTAAGTCCAGTTCCCAAATTCTACCTAATACCTCAGTTAATCTCACTGCTAATACTGGAGCACCATCCTTAAAAATTTCAGGAGTAAACCTTTCAGGGCCTGCTGCTCTCCCTCGCTTCAGATTTCCTATAGGTTTTTCAACTCCATAAAGAGTCGGAGCACCTAAATTAACTTGCGATTCAGGTCGACTGGAGATCGTGAGAAACCGAAGTGCGGCTGAAGGCCAGATGAACTGATCCCTAAAGTGTTCTGCCCATCGACCAAATCCCTTCGATTGAGAATGAATAATACGTACATCTTTTTCTGAGATACTTTCCCAACAGTTGGGGTTCCTAATGCCGGTTTGCTTAATGAGTCTGAACAGTTGTCTGCTGTTACCCACTGCCGCTATCTTTTCCATCTTTCTTGCTTTCGCTATCCACCACTGTTCACGATCATTGCGTAGGCTTCTTGTCAACTTGCGCTTAAACTGACTCCGCTCTTCGTTATGTTCAGAGCCAGATGGAAGGAGTTTCCAGCCATCCATCAGTGCGGTTGATGCTACTGAGATTCAATGTTTCTCCCTAACCTTATGGTTACTGTACTAGCATATATCACCACAACATTTCGGATGTCATTCCACGCTGTCTTGTGGTGGGCATCACTTACATGGCTGACTAACTGTTTTTCTAGTTGTTCCTGAAATAAATTCTTAACTTGGTGATCATTAAGTAGGACCCTAAGAGGTTTCCTTGCAGCGTCTTTCTTACGTCCATCAAGACGCAGACAAATACGCGCTTGCACTAGAGCATAGATGTTTATGGTAAGACTTGAAATCATTAATAATTGATTCAAATATTAGAGAGTTATATTCAATGTGTTAGTGTAGTAGAATTCGATGTTGTTGTTAAAGCAACAGTAAAAATGAAAGACCAATAGAAAAACAACACTTCAGCCTTGTATAAAATTATGGCAATTAATCAGTATACATTCTAAACGTAACTTAAGTACTATAAGCAAAGATGGATAGTGGCTAGCAGTGGAATGCAGGACGCGCGTTTCGTCCCGTTTGGGACTCGTCAGCTGGATGTACCTGAATCTCAGAGTTGATGTTCACTCTGAGATGCAGGTACATCCAGCTGACGAGTCCCAAACGGTACGAAACGCGCGTCCTGGATTCCACTGCTAGTCACTATCCATCTTTGCTTATAATGCTTGTAAATTAAGGCAATATCGAGGCATACGCACAGTACGCACATATGGCAATAAGAGACTGATCAATTTCAGTCCTAAAACATCAATGGGAAGATTCAAGTAAAACAATATCAAGTGAAGTAATTTAAGTACGTTAAAAAGTGAAACATCTTAACTATACTGAAATTGATTTTCAGCTGACAAGATAAATTACTGCGAAAATTATTAGAAGCAACTAATATTAGTTCAAATAAAGCCAGAAAAAATATTGGTGCAGAATAATATGAATTCATTGGAAGAACTGAGAGAAGAGTACATGTTCGCATTTCTGAGCATGTTCCAAAGAAATTGAGGTTGCGAGGGACTAGGGATCTCAACAGTGCAATAGCTCGGCATTTACATGACACCAGGCATACCATTGACATTCCTCATGTTTTTTTTTTAAATTATTGGCAGACAAAGAAGTACGGCTGCTCTCCGTTTCGCTGAAGAGATCGCGATAACAAAACCGGATTTATGTATTCAAAAAGAGACAGTAATAAACTTATTACTACTTTGGTAATCCAATTTTTTTAGTTGTTTTTTTGTTTTTGGTTATTAGTGTTATTTTATTTACTTATTTTTTTAAAATATTTAGTTTGCGTTATATTTCTCTTCCATTACTGAATTCTTAAACCACCCTTTCATTCCCACATTTCCGCCCACTTGATCCTCTTAAATTATGTGAACTCTTCAAATTCTGTTCAATTATTACGTAACCCATCTTATCAGTTTTTTTAAACCCATGGATCCTTCATTACCCATCCTTAATGTTTCCTTGATTCTAACAGCAAATAACTTCTGAGCTGTTCTTGCATTTCTATATATATATATATATATATATATATATATATATATATATATATATATATATATATATATATATATATATATATATATATATATATATATATATATATATATATATATATATATATATATACATATACATATATGGTTATTATTGTTAACCTTGGTCATTCCAATTCTTTACATTCAATTATGTCAATTGTTTTCTAGTATTCCTTACCTCAATGTTAAATTCTAATACATATTTGGTTGTAAGCAGCTGACGAGAAACCTCGAAATATAATGAATTCATATTATTCTGCACCAATATTTGTTCTGGCTTTATTTAAATTCATAAAGGGGACTAACTGCATAATATTAGTCCACCTTTTACCAAAATTTATGATAATCTAAAATATCACTATATTGATGTGTTCCGATGTAGCTAGCAGTGGTATTAAGTCGATTTTCGTCCTATTTTAAACTCATCAGCTGGACGTCCCTGCACCCCAATGTTGATATTAACACCGAGACCTGGCCCCAGTGGCTTTCTGTTTAAACTCCAACGCGTTATTTACTTTAATTCCACTTCCTTACAAGTGAAATTGAATTTTATTCCCTTTTCACATGCCAGGGTCTAAGTGAATAGTGCTTCGAAAGTTTCGAGTGGCAGTAACTACGTTCAAGTCTCAGAGCGAACATCAACATTATTGAGCAAGTACGCCCAGCTGATGAGTCCCGAATAGGGCTAGACTACGTTGAAACACTTTGGATGAAAATATTTTTGAGTTAATGGTACTATCTGAGTAATCTGCTCAAAATACATATATGCCGGAAGATGTCGATCAGTTGCAGCACATAACACCAACAACCGGATAATCCCAACACTTGTAAGTGATATGTTTATAAATTGGTTCGTTTTCATTGTTGTTTTCGTAAATTAATATATGACATACTATACAATCGTTATACGATATAGACTTTTTGAGTGCAGATAAACTTCTGACATCATTATCGTCATAAAGATAAACGACTCACGTCTTTGACAATTTCTGGTTTTGTCAGTAAGGCTGCTCCCATCCCACCCTTGAAGCAAACAAGAAAAGTTAAAAGACAAACTGGGTTGTACAAATTATAAGGCTAGTATCAAGCGTAACTGTGTTAATCAACATGTTGACAAAATTTCATGGATATTTACTACATATAGAAGTGGTTTGTATCAAAATCTAAGATAACTTAATGTAGGAAGTCTGCTAAAACGTTTGAGAAAACTAGTTTCCAGCTGTGTACGTAATGTAATTCTCCCTTTTTTTAATTTCTTTAAACTGAATAATTAACGTTGTTGGCCGTGGGTACTTACGCGTTATCTCAAAAGGCTTACAAATCATTGCAATACAAAATACTACGAAACTCAAACAGAAACACTACAGTTCTTGATATGTTCTATATGAATATTAAACTATTTCACTCTAAAGTGTTTTGTTGACTAATGTAGAAGATTAAGGATATCCCGACCACAATATGGTAGCAGTCCAAAATACTGATGAGTTTTAGGCAGTTATCGACTGTGAATTCCTTGGACGAATTTTGTGATGAAACAGGTCGAATAGCACTTCTTAATATCAACTTCAATAGTGGAAATAAAATGTATCCCACTTTGCTCTGAATTTTAAATATCTAGTTACTTTTGTGTGTACTTATTGTTTTGTCCATGAGATTTTCTTTTACAGCTCATTTTAATTTACCTCATTTTTCCTATTTCTATGTTACATATTGAGTGATGGCTTGATGGTCAAAACACGGCTATTAAGACTGTCCCATCTAGATGGTATAACTAGCCCACACAACAGTAGCTCGATTCACTGTTTCATGTCTCCTTTCTGGTGTCCTTTTAACTGATGAACAAAAACAATCTGCTAAGTAATAGTCTCATAATAATGTATGAACAAGCGATATCACAATAAAATCAATGATAGTCATATATATACTAACCTTTATAGAATATGCTTTAGGACAACCCATATTCACATCAATACCCATAACATCATTTTCCCTGTTTGGCTCAGATTAAATGGAACAGAGAAAACTTACAGCATTTTGGCGGCTTGTAATGCTGTCCCAGGCTCTGGAGTTCCCTGAAAATGATTATAAACGATATTATATAACAAACATGATGAACGACATACTAATTGGACAATAACGCGGTTTTTCTCTTCCGCCGATGTACGAAATGTCACTGAACCATCGGGTAGAACGAAATCAATGGTATTCAATTCAGCTAATGAAAACATAGAGAACAAATCAAAGAAATTATCAAATTAATGCTTACCATTTACTATCCTTGCAGAGCGGATAATTCTTTGGTCGATCAATTCCTGAAAACATTAAGTGTTGGAGTCATACATAAACATTTATCAATAAACTCTATACATCTCAATAGAATTAATGGGTCACCTGTCGAGAGAATATACTACAATTTGATAAACACTATCGAGCCTGAAAATGAGAAAGGTGGTTCAGATTTCAAACTGACAAACTAAGCCTTGTGGGTTAGACCTTTAGGTCAAAGGCTCGGGGTGTGGCCCCCTAAGATAACCACCTGCTTCGGTCTGGGCACCCGGGCAGTATCACAGCCCACACGCAAATGATGAACTCCCTATATCTATGGAAACTACTTTTCTCGCTTCGAATAACAATCAAATGATTTAAATGATTGTTATTACTATTATTATTATTTACCACATTATTCACCCTCTTTTATACTTATACAGCGGCTCGTCTTTGGTGGAAATTCGACTCTACCTAAACGTTCTCGAGCCACTGGCCGGTTGAAAATTGTATGTTTCCACTGAATATAAGTACTGAAGCAGTTTTTCTGAAACCACGAGCACCATTCAAACTGGCTGCCTTCAACGTTCGCACACTTATGCAGGTTGAACAACAGATAGGGCTGTCTATGTCTTTGGAAAGTCTTAATATCGATGTTTGCTGTTTATCCGAGACCCGTATTCAAGACTCTGGTGAAGTACTACAAATTCGCTCTCCATCTGTCGCTTCGAAAGGCATGTTTTACGTGCGCTTATCCGGGGACCCTGTGGTATCTTCGTCTGGTCTTGCTGGCGTTGGTGTCGCACTAAGCGCTAGAGCTGAGGCAGCACTAATCGATTGGATCCCCATTAACAGTCGGTTATGTGCTGCTAGATTAAAAAGTTCCATCAAAGTGAGAAGAAATCGGCGTGAGAAACGATGTCTTTTCGTCATCTCCGCCTATGCCCCGACAGATTGCAGCCCGGATGCAATCAAGGATGAATTCTACCACCAGTTATCTGTTCTTCTCCAGAAAGTGCGTTCGACAGATATTGTAGTACTAGCCGGAGACTTGAATGCTCAGGTCAGGCGTCTAGGCACAGAAGAGAGTCGTTTAGGTGGCCGATGGGGACTTGTTGGTCGCAGGACAGATAACGGGGACCGTCTACTACAACTATGCACAGACCACAACCTGTTTCTGGCTAGCACTAACTTTCGGCACAGTCATCGCCGATGTGCCACCTGGCGTCCTCCCTCTGCATCTCAAGCCTGGACTCAGATTGATCACATCGCGATCAGCTACCGCTGGCGTGGTTGTGTACAAGACTGCCGCTCCTTTGGGAGTACCTATCTGGACTGTGACCATGCTTTGGTCTGCGCCAATCTTACCTTACTTTTAAGTGGTCAACGAAGTGACCGCCATCAACGGATTGATATTAGCAAGCTGGTTGCAACTTCTGTTGCAAGTAAGTATCGAACCGAGCTAGCTTCTAGGCTAACTACCATTCCACTGTAAAGTATAGATGAGCATTGGTTGCAATTGCGTGACGCCATCAAAATGGCGGGTATAGTCAGTTGTGGGTTCGCGAAACGTCCCGCTTATAAGCACTGGGTTTCTTCTGGTTCCTTACAACTCATTGAAGCCCGTCGGTCTTCTCCGGGTGACCGTGAGTTTGACCACAAACGAAGGATGTTACGTAAGGAAATTGGGCAAAGCTTGCGTAAGGACCGAGAAGCCTGGTGTGAGCGAAACAATCTACGAGGATGATGGGATGCCAATCACTAACATCCATCGACGTCTTGGACGATGGGCAGAATTTTTCGAAGGGCAGTTCAACTGGCCTGCTGCTCCGGCAACATCGGTCAGACTGTCCTGCCCTCCATGGCCGGTGACGACTGATCCACCAAATGAGGAGGAAGTCCGCAAGGAACTCCAACTCTTGAAGCGTTACAAATCACCTGGCCCAGATGACTTACCTCCGGCTCTTTTTAAAGATGGTGGTGACTTTTTGACTAAGGAATTGACGACGTTGTTTACAAAGGTTTGGGAACTAGAGAGTGTACCAACGTCATGGAATGAGTCGATAGTTGTCCCTATCTTTAAAAAGGGTTCACGTCGTTCCTGTAACAACTATCGGGGGATAAGTCTACTTCCGATTGCGTCCAAGCTATTGGCTTCCGTCATACTTCGTAGGTTGTTCAAAACCCGAGAAAGATTGACTCGCGAGGAGCAGGCTGGGTTTCGTTCTGGTCGAGGATGTATTGATCATATCTTCACCCTCCGCCAAATGTTAGAACACCGCCATACTTTCAAAGGCCAACAATCGTAGTGTTTCTTGACATCAGGGCTGCCTTCGATTCGTTGGACAGGACTGTTCTCTGGGATTGTCTATTGAAGAAGGGTGTGCCTGAGAAGTTTATTAACATCCTAAAAGCCCTGTATAAAAACACCTCAGGCAGAGTGAGGGCATACAACCACCTCTCTCCATTGTTCCATTCGAGCAGTGGGGTTAGGCAGGGTTGCCCAATCTCACCATTCCTCTTCAACTTTGCCATCGATGACATTCTGGAAACAGCTCTGATGAATGTAAGTAATGGTGGTGTGGATCTGTTGCCTGGAGAAAGACTTCTCGACCTTGAGTATGCGGACGATATTGTCTTACTGTGCGATAATGCCCAAGGCATGCAATCCGCACTTAATCAGTTGGCAATCAGTGTCCGTAGGTATGGTATGTGCTTTGCACCTTCGAAGTGCAAAGTACTTCTACAAGACTGGCAGGATTCCAATCCTGTACTCACCCTGGATGGTGAGCAGATAGACGTAGTCGAGAAGTTCGTGTATCTGGGTAGCTGCATAAGTGCTGGTGGGGGTGTGAGTGATGAGATCAATGCACGTATAGTGAAAGCCAGAGCGGCTTATGCCAATCTGGGCCACCTTTGGCGCCTTCGTGATGTTAGTCTGGCTGTAAAAGGTCGGATCTACAACGCGTCGGTGAGAGCAGTTTTGCTCTATGCTTGTGAAACCTGGCCTCTCCGAGTTGAGGACGTTAGACGACTCTCTGTGTTCGATCATCGCTGTCTCCGAAGGATTGCTGACATTCAGTGGCAACACCATGTCAGTAATGCAGAGGTTCGGCATCGTGTGTTCGGGCACAGAGATGATAATCAATTGGTGTCACCATCTTGAAACACCGACTTCGGTGGCTTGGACATGTTCTCCGAATGTCGTCCCAGAGAATTCCACGTCGTGCATTATTTGCCGACTCTGGGACTGGTTGGAAGAAGCGGAGAGGTGGTCAGTGCATGACATGGTGTCGTGGCATGAAAGAAAGCTGCAAAGGACTGGCTTGTGTTGGTCCTTCACGACTCCCTGGTTGGGGTCCGAGAGATGGTGCTACACAGTGGCTAGAGACGTTATCAGATATGGCTCAGAATAGAAGCCAGTGGCGATCCTGCTGTAACCTTCTTTTACTTTCTTCATAAAAAGTGGTTGTGTCTCCTTACCTGAAAGATTTCTTCTGATTGTACCTTTCGTTCCCTCGTTACTACCACACTACCTTACACCAATCTCTTCGTCATTGTTCTCTTTTTTTCGCTCCTTACTTTTTTTCTTTTTTCTCCTCGAATTCTCATTGTTTTGTGTGGCGCATATATATTGGCGCTCTCTTGTACCAATATTTATGTGTTCAAATAAATAAATAAATAAAGGCTCTAACCACAGAGAAATTAACTAAGTTAGAACTGTAGACTACTATTTACTCTGTTGGTTACCATATTTTTGGGAGCATCAAATAGGACAATCTGCTTTCATACATAACTTATGGTGTTTCAGCACCATAATACAATTTGGATTCGATCGCTCAAGGCATCCAGCGCAAATCCACTACCATAAAACGTTTAAATCCAACCAATAAACTCCCATGTACCAAACATCTTGACTAAAAACTCAATATGCATCGGAAGCCACAGTACTGGTTTGATTACCTTTTGGAAAACAATTCGAATAAGCTATCGTTTGTGAAAATATATACTTTTGGTAAAGAAACGCAGTCTATAATGTTGAAGTTATAGAAAACAAACCTGAATAGCATGTGAGATTAGGATTACAACAATGAAAGGTAGAATAAACAGCCTCATCATTTAAAACAAAAGTATTTCTTAGAATTCTTAATTAAAACCACGTACTCAACTGTGTAGATGGATTTGCACTCAAGTCTAATAACTAAAAAAGCTCTGAAACAATGAAATACAACGATGCCTCAATAACAAATACAGTCTTTAGTAATACTAATCAGTGAATTTATACGAAACAACCCAACATACTTCAGAAATCACATAATCTGCACCATATTCCAGACACAGAAGACGCATGGGATGTGTTGAAACACGTACCATAGGTGCCAGAAAAGTCTTGCGTGTTGCATCAAAAGTAGGGCGGCTCTGAAATTATTCGTAAATAATAGGCTCATTACACATGGTGATGGAGATTTAGAAGACAAGACGCAAACAATTTATATATAAATTGAAATACGGCAAGACCGTTGTATTCTATTGTCATCGCCCGTTAACATATATATGACATACACTAAGAAGGGTTAGAAAACGGTTTTACTAATGTTTCTCAGTAAGCATTAGTACCTGTTATGAGAGAAACTATGATAACCTTCACTCAACATGAGACAGACATCTAGACAATTGCAAATCATGGACTCTCCCGATTAGTATATACTTGACTGGGACCATAGTTATAATATTTATAAATTCAATGACAAAAAAATCAGTGGTGTTTAGTGGTTCCGAAAAGCCACTATGCTCGAAAAGACATTGCTGATATTTATGATAAAAGACTACTAACTTGTAGATGTATATGGGCTACAAAGATCATTTTCATATGTACAATATGTACAATCAGAATATCTGAACATTCAATAGTGTACTGAAAACAAACGTAAGCTCAACACCTAGGTGTTGAGTAAATTCAATATTATTGTGTTTAGGATGGGCTCTAGATAAAGTGATGACTCTGTCTTGCCCGCAACTGGTGTGTTAACTAAATGGGCATGATCATTTTTTTATCCAGGTCGAAATTTCGCAGGTTTTCAGCGGGACAATTACAACCACCGATAGTAAGTCAGCGAAGCAATCGAAACAGTAGTTGGAAGGTTTAATCAATAAAGGATAGACACTTAGGACATTATGAGAAATAAAATGATTACAACCTGATCAACGGTCATCTTCCCAAGGTTGGGCGTCAAGGCCACGATGTAACCTTCGAAGCGAATTATCCGCCTTAGTTTTTGCATCTTTCTAGATCTGAACACAATGTGTGCCAAGGGATAACTGTCAACGGTTTAACACCTTGAGGCTTCTAAGCTGAAGCCCAGGAACCTGTGTTTGTAACTTCGCTAAATTTATCAGACTGCTTTGAGGTACAAAACGAGTAGAAATAACACATTTACAACTCAATAGCTTTCTGCTGTTCTTCAACCAATTTGAAGTGGTGTGGAAGACTGTCCAACAAACTACAAACGTGCTGTTACTTCCAACCACACAAATGTTAATTATAGTAGTAACACAGACCTAGCTTTACTTACTTACTTACTTACTTACACCTGTTACTCCTCGTGTAGGAGCATAGGCCGCTCACCAGCATTCGCCATCCAACCCTGTCCCGGGCAATCCTTTCCAGCCCCTTCCAGTTGTTATTCATCCTTAACATATCTGCTTCTATTTCCCGATATAATGTGTTCTTTGGTCTTCCTCTTTTCCGCTTCCCTTCAGGATTTCAAGTTAGGGCTTGCCTCGTGATGCAGTTCGACGTTTTGCGTAATGTATGTTCCATCCATTTCCATCGCCTTTTCCTAGTTTCTTCTTCGTTTGGAAGCTGGTTTGTACTCTCCCACAGAACGCTGTTGCTGATGGTATCCGGCCAATGGATGTTGAGTATCTTGCGTAGATAGCTATTTATAAATACTTGTACTTTCTTGATTGTGGTTGTAGTAGTTCTCCACGTTCCAGATCCGTACAGTGGAACTCACTGTGTTGACGTTCGTATTGAATATTGTGACGTTGATATTGGTTGACAGTTGTTTTGAGTTCCATATGTTCTTCAGTTGTTGGAATGCAGCCCTTGTTTTGTCAATCCTCGTCGTTACGTCTGCATCTGAACCTCCTTGTTCATCGATGATGCTTCCTAGGTATGTGAAGGACTCTACATCTTCCAGAAATTCGCCATCAAGAGTGATTGGATTGTTGTTCTTCTTTTTGAATTTGAGGACTTTGGTTTTCCCCTTATGTATGCTGAGGTCTACTGATGCAGAGACTGCTGATACATTCGTTGTCTGTATCTGCATTTGTTCATGTGTATGCGGTAGGAGGGCCAGGTCATCTGCAAAGTCCAAATCGTCTAATTGATTCTGAGCTGTCCGTTGTATTCCGTGTTTTCCTTCAGATGTCGAGGTCTTCATAATCCAGTCGATCACCAGAAGAAAGAGGAAGGGAGAGAGTAAACAGCCTTGTCTGCCTCCGGTTCTTACTTGGAATGCATCTGTCAGCTGTCCTCCATGCACGACCTTGCACTGTAGTCCGTCGTATAAGTTCCGGATAATGACGACAATTTTCTCAGGAACTCCATAGTGTCGAGGAAGTTCCCATAACGTCCTCCTATCTACACTGTCAAATGCCTTTTCATAATCAATGAAGTTGATGCATAGTGACGAGTTCCACTCACCTGATTGTTTGACGATAATCCGACAGACCTGGATTTGGTTATTCGTTATTCTTACTATATGAACATTATGAGTCGTGTGAGAAGTTTGCAATTCATCTGGTGGACATGCAGACCTGTAGACATGTAGATTTGTGTCGACGATAGTGATTTAGTCAGATGAACGGAATTACGTGACTTCCTAACTCACTTTGAAGTCATACCTCACGGTAAGTAACTAACGTGAGCATTACTTTTATTATTATCCAGGCCCTGCGACTACTTTGATAATCGTATAAAAAACATGATGGTATTGATGAAGTGCACTTTAAGAATACTCTGAATTAACAGGATACCATCAATGATGCACGGGCCAGTACATGGTGTGCAAGTGATTGATCCACAATGGGTCATCCTTGACGTTAACAATCTTTGACAATCTATATAACCTTTAGTGATCAGTCGTCTATTGCAAAAGCTTTTCAACCTGACGTGTGATTTGTCTAGGACCCAGTGTTATTACGCTGGTCCCACAAGTAAATAAAAAATCATAAATGTTCTTCAGATAGGTCAGTTTCTTATCCAACGTTTCGGACTGACATTTATTTGACTTCTAGCCTGGTCATATATCATAGGGTTAATGATAAGCTATAGACATATATAATAGTTTTGAGGTAGTCCTAATCATTTTGTGGCAGTTTATGACATTATGGAACTATGAATCCGTCTAGGTAATTCACCTGATTCATTTCAACATAGGTCTACCACCAATATTTTATTTAATGCTATTTTGTATTGATACATAGATCAGTACCGGATAAAGGGATGAATTAAGGCCTGTAAACAGTAAGATGCATTACTTTTTCATTCTGTACTGGTCCTGACATCAGATGTTACTGTTTTCGCAATCCTTATGACAGACCAGCTGAAAGCGAAGAAATGATTTTCGACGGTGTCTTCATTTAACGCGTTAGAAAAGATATTTTAGGCGAAAATCTTTAAGAAAATGACTAATATTTCTGAGGAGCTTTATTTACTTTGCATCTAATGCTCACCAAAGTGTGATTCACAGAACTTGTGAGATTTGGGTAAGACTGTACAAATGAATTTGTTTATGGCCATAGAATAATAGATCCTATCCAATGTAGTGGACTTGCCATGATGTGAATTCCCAACCTAAAAGCTCTTACGTTGAATTCACACGATCTTCTGTATTGGCACATCGTGTTGTGACAGCCAGTGATATTTGTAGTAAATTTTTAGGGGTACATTTGGACCAAACATAAAATAGTATATTTTATATAAGTGCCAAGAAGCTACATAGAGTGACTACGGCTATATAGCCGAGCAACTGAGTCACTATTGATCGTTTCAGCGTTCATCTTTCTTGACCTTCTCCATTTGTCCAAAGTCTAAAGTAAGTCTTCTCAGCCATTGTATGTCCAGCTTCAGAGATCGTGTGTTTAAAAACGATTGCCATTAGGACTCACATTAACAAGATAGTAGTTATAAAGCAACCGTAGATATCAGCCGTTTATTAAGTTAGATAATTAAGCACCATTCAAAAATACGCAGGTTGAGGATGTCTGAAGATCACTTGTCTTAGTGCACAACGTATTTCATGGATATTCAGCAGATTCAACAAATTAATATCTCATTGAGCCGATAAAAATTGTTCATGATAATACATGTCTTTCATCTGATCTTCACGAACCTTATCTCCAATGTTCTTTTCCACTATCATTGCTAATACAGTTATTTGTAGTTGTGTTAGTTTAGTGTGAATATTGCTCACTTGTGCAAGCCATATGGTAAGCAAAACTGACTGGTTGTATAGTTGGTAATGTATGTCCGTGAGTAGTGTAACGAGTAGAGTATACCTACACTGAATTATACATATTTACTAATGTTCGTTCTTGTATAGATACACCTTCTGTACATTAGGACGCTTTGTAGATTTGACAGTGGACTTCTATGATCGATGGTGTCACAAAAATCCATGGTACCTACTTCAGTAAAGATTATACTATGCCGTAAAGGAGTTCAATTAGTGTGGACGTAATTCTAGACCTACCTGATTAAGTTTGCGATCGTTAATATTGATTGTTTATTAGCAGTAAGAGTAAAAAAACGACCTGTCACCGGAGACTATTGGTTTACTTAACATGAATCTATGTTAATAGATAAGTAGGGATCACTACTGCGGTGAATAAATCACGTCCTCCGTGAGTGTGGACAATTGGCTTTTCGACAACTGAGGATCATCATGAAGTAGTTAACGAAAGTATTTTATCCTAACAGTTCATTACGCAACATCGACAGCTTGCAGCGTCAATAATTAGAATTCACAGTTAAAAATACTAGCAGAGAATGAATACGTGACAAAATGCCACCTTTGTAGAACATTTGATATCAAAACTTTCACACTAGTTGAAATTACCTCAACAAAAACTTTAGAAAACTAGATTATCCATTTGTTAGAACGAAAATTTAGAAATTCATAAAAGAGATTGACTGGATTTATATGCACTCTGAAGATGAACCTTAGCCGAGTTGATAAACAGAACGTAATTATAGAGGGCGTCACACATGCATCACAATGATTGCATACTTAAATAATCATAACTACAGAACTATGAAAAGTGAGCGAAGATAACAGAGAACGAGGGGTGTCATACATACTGAGTCACAAAAATGGCTGAAATAACAAAACCCACCATCGATAGTCGACACGGATTGGTTGTTAATTTCGACAGTGAAAACTTTCAAGATTATGAGAAAGTAACTCTAGACTACAGACCCTACAGGAATTTTAAATCCTTTTTGCTGCCACTAATTAATGCAGCTACATCAAAAAAGAAATAAGCAGGATATTTTGGAAAACCCCGATGACTATTGGGTTATGTATATTTATATACTTTAAGGATTGTGGTTTATAAGTGACGATAGTTATTACAATTACTGTGAACAATAATCTTCTAAACAATTTATTACTTCCTGGAATTTGTCCGCCTAAATATGTAGCAATGTTGTAATGAGTCGTCATCAGAAAGTGTGGAAAAGTGTGAAGACAACTGGTTGAGACCACTTCGAAGATAATAATATAATACAGGGGAAAGAAATGTGTGTGAATATGTATATACTACAAGTGGGTTTTCGCCATTTGAAACGCGAAAAATCCAAATCCTGCTAAGACAGTCGCTGCTAATGTCCATTTCCACGCATGATCCGTTTGTGCTAATTCAAATCCACGGTAATGCCTAAAAAGTAGACATTTTCCAATAAAAAATAAGCATCAATATAGTAAAGCATATACATTTATTGTATTAAATTTGAGAACTACACTTGTATAGACAATACTACGTCTTACAGTACTGGTAACTTTTAAAGTTAGCCAATGAATAAGCAAATTCATGTGATAATTCTTTGTTTTCACTTAGGTTGCTCGCAAACTTTTGACCTTATTTTGTTAGCTACCATTAAACGTCGGAGTAGACGGAGGTTAGATATGCGTAATATATTCCAAAGAAATGCTTAGGTTCAGTATCATGTACTAGATAAATATGACAAAACGGTTGACGTGAATGTTTATTGACTGAAGTAGCTGCAACGAATTATATGCATATTTGATTGATCACTGGGTGGTGATCAATGTCATGTGTTTCAAGTCCTTCTTAGTGCAGATCGAATGTTGCAATATGGACATTAGTCTAGGTGACTCGACACTGCGTGCACTATGTTGAAATAAGGTGTTTGTAGGTAGTCAATAAGAAAATCTGGACCCGGGTTTCGTGCTACTTGGCACTCGTTAGCATGGTGTACCTGTAATCTTGAGGGAACTGGTGCTCACTGACTTGGTCGGTAGCATTCCATCTGCACTAATAAGGACTTGACACACATGACATTGGTCACCACCCAGTGATCACTCAATTGTGATTACATATCAGTCCTACAGGAGGTAGGTCGCTGTCCGGATAGACCAGTGGTAATATCCCTGACTTTGAAGTTGGGTGACACGGGATCGATTCCATCAGGGAGCACCAGTTCTCTCAAGATCACAGGTACACATGTAGCACGAAACCCGGGTCCAGGGTTCCCTTTTGACTACTTCCAACCACCATCTTACGAATTATATGCGCCTGACCATCATTTGGCTTTGCGAGTAATCATGATTAACATAAGAGATTGGAACAAACCTAAAAGCAAACAGACCAAGACATGCTATCAGTTAATGAATTCAATGGTTGTTGATCTGGGCCATGTCAGGAGATATGAACTTATTAGTCAATATTTTATGAACACAGGGAATTGTGAATAGCATTAAACATCTATTTTGTATCATGTAACATTGGTGCGATAACATCAAGAAACATATAATACGCATTTGTATCTACTAAACTAATCAACTTACGGATAATTTGCCATTGTACACAACAATATGTATACAGAACAAAAATCTGGTTCAGTCTGACTTTTTAAATTACGATTAGTATTATTATATAAATCAGAACGTGAATGATGTCTACTACGTGATCCATTCGTAACCAAATGTGAACTATCACAAACACCATTCAATGAATTTTCTAACGACGTTGAGTCATGTGAATTAAGCAGTGATCGATTGAAATTATTTGTTAATGTATTACCAGTGATTGGAGATCTAGAAATAGGATCGGCTGAACCAGCACGTCTTCGTGTCGACGGTGTAGCAGTATTAGTACCATCAGGTTCATTACCACTACTAGTATTAGTAGTTGCAGCAGTAGTAGCATCAGGTAGATGATTGAATGAATTATTTAGTGGTGAGTAATTTTTACGTTTTGGTAATAAATAAACACTAGAAAATGATTCAATTGGTGGTAAGTGATATTTAGTTATCATTTCAGTAGGATCAATTTGATAATTTTGTATGACATGTGATTGGTCAGATTTGGCAGCAACAAAAAGACATGGTACTCGGGTCCCACGATAAAAATTCTAAGGAAAAAAAGAAATAGAAAGTTTGTTGAATAACACTGTCAAAAATTATGACAATAAACTATTGTGTTGTATGGTGTCTAATTTTGATACTAATACACGATCTTCCTATACACAACCGGAACCAGTTATTTGGATCAGAACGAAATTACTTGGATAAACCGATTCAGGAATATATGTACATTTATATATATACCTTGGGAAGTGAAGTTATCAGTGGTGTATGTCTCATCTCATTGAAGTGCAAGCCGTTTATTGACCGGTCGCATGCATTTATTCATTTGGTGGGCATATAATTGTCTTAATATACCACAAACTTCATTAACAATTAGTCTGTAAAATAACGATTGACGGCTGCGGTACACGTAATATGAAATTGATAGACCCCGGTTACTTCTTACTCGAACGAGATTATTTACGGTATGACATTTATTGTTAGCAACTCACTGAAGGATGTTGTATGTCATAGTTTTTACATATATTTGGTTTTACGTATATTTCGCATTACATTGACAACTAACTAAGACTTGCAATACATCATTCTGGGTGTAACAACATTAGCTCAGCTTACTTGATGGTTGAACAAGATGTAGACGGTATTTCAAGGATAAAAGTAGTCATAAACCTGAATATTGGGAGAGAATGCTACTGAGCACGAAGCTGAACTTCAGAAAGAACACCAACATCTTTTAGACCAAAAATGATCGTGTAATGTGGTGAGAAAAAGGATCAAATTTATTCTATTCAGATTGATAATCGTAACAATCCAAATACCGGACACAATGATTTTAATCGTATTCATACATTTCTGACTCATTTTTATAATGTGACAACTAAAAATTTGATAGACGCCAATCTCATTCAGAACCAATAACTTGAAAGTCATTCAAAACGTAGTCTGTAAAACCTATAGTTGTAAAGTCTGTTGTTAAGAATTGTTTATTAGTCATCTATACACTTGTTTATTAAATGACAATTAAGCCAAAAACAAAGTAATAAACTTACGATCAGAAAAATTACATCTAAACTGTACTATGTTATCAAGTAATTTTTAGTGGATGGGTTCGAGACCCGGTGTAAATACTCTGGGATGTAGGTACATCCACAGCTGGAGAGTTTTAAATGCGAAGGAACGCGCGTATTGGATTTCACTGCTAGCCGCATTCCACCTGCTGTATATTAACTTGTGTCATAATACCTATATTGAGTGAATTCGTACAGAATTCACAAATATTTCAACCAGCAATAATCAAATCTAAGTCAAAACATCAATAACCAGATAATTTGAACCATTATAAATTAAACTTAACTGATAAGTCTTCTAACTGAATGCTCAGTTCGATTACCTAGCCACTTTTAATAACCCCAGGCTAAATCAATGCAGGAGCTTGGACGCAAGAGAAAAGGAAACGCGGTACCTGAAGGTTTGTTTCTGTGCGGAAAAACAAGAGTATTTAAAATATTCCAAATGGCTTCAGGCTTCTAGGAGTTTCTGGGACTATACTAAATATAGTAGCGGCATAGGTAATTATTAAATCAGAAACGTGACTCTTCACTTTCCAGATATTCCCGAGAAGCTTCTATTTAAGGCTGATTGTATAAGATGTTTCCCAGCGTTTTCTAGGTGCCTATGGACTTTACCGAGGAATACCTTGGATCTCCCCAAACATTAATGAATTATGTTTTTTTTTGTTAACACATGAAAAATATTTATAAACAGAAAACTAACAAGGAATATATTTGCTACATAACGAAATGACTCTGCATCTGAAACATCATACACCAAACAGGCAACATCTACTGCTAATGCTTCATTGGCTGACATTTGTTCACCCGCACTAGCACTGATCTCATGCATTAATAAAGTTCTTGATTGACCATAGACAGGAACACCTGATGCAGCTACCCAATTTGATGTACGGCCAGTTATACCACCGATACCGGTACCACCAGAACCGCATAAACTACGGCCAAGTAGGCCTTGCATTAAACATGTCTACAATGGAAAAAATGCACAACTGAACTAATACATATGGTGATTATCACTAAGAATGAAACATGATTATATAATATCGTGAATTGATTGGAATTAGAAATGAAAACAATTGGATACAGATTCCGTGATCTACAGATCAAGTGCTCTTGTCGCAAAACTTGAAAGAATCTAGATTTGATCCCCAGTGGGGTCGTGGATGCGCCCTGCTAACGAGTCTCATACTACGATAAAACAGCTGTTCGGTGTCTCCTAGTTGTCTAACGAAGACCAACCTGTGGCGTGAACTGCAGAAGACGATCCAGTTATTGTCAAGTGTTAAATAATCTGTATTACTCGTGGCAGTATCATGAATTTATTGTCGACCGATAATAATTTAGCCTATAGGTTGAATAATTTAACCGTGACAGTTCTAAATATAATGTCAAGGAACAACTTTAATGCTACTAAGACTAATTATACATATTCATTTTACAGTCCACCATAGTCTTACATTTGATACAGACAGAAGAATATATTGGGTTAGTGATTCACCAGTCTCTGAAATGAATTATGTCTGTCATTACCTTCTTTTTCTTCTAAATACAAACATCTAACTAATTACAACTGATAATCAGTTGTTTATAGTAAAAGAACAGTAAAACACTTTATCTTATTAATCAATACATTCATTGGAATTTATTAAAATTTCAGCGTTGAACAGTTTTTATGTCAGCATCACTTATAAATCTTCATTACACACACACACACAAACACCAAACAGTTTCTAAACACTTAGGATATGTATCTATGTAATAAGTTCAGATTATATCACAAGAGAAAATTATCCTAAACAGAACTCATTTAATTCTCTATGTGAAAATTATTAATTAAATATCCGTTTATGAAATAATTCAATTACAGATTATGTTAAAATTTCTCATGAACAATAAAGATAATCTCTAGGATCATTCAGATCAAAACGTTCTATAAGTTTTAAGTTTAATATTCAGTTATCAGTTAGTCAATCGTAATATACGAGATACAATTTGCCAACAATATATGCATAGGTGGCCCAAGTTGCAACAGTTCATATTATCATCATTATTATTAACGTAGTAAGAAAGGAATATAATCAAGATGAACAGAAAAGGGGTTCAAATAATAACAATAACTATGGCAACAGAATACAGAAAAATATATACTGATAAGTTAATATTTGAAAGAAGATCAAGCATGAAAATATCTGCATTGTTACAGGTTACACCCAATGATTGAATTCGAATATGAAGCTAAGTTCACTATTTAATTTTCCATAGATCTTGAATTCCAGTACACATTTAGAAATACCTTTTTAATCGTTCTTTTCAAACTGTATTGCTTAATATATGATCTTTCTCGCTATCACCGCTACTATTTTTTCACTCAATTTTGCCACTTTTATCGCGTTGTACTAATTCAGTAACAGAACTTGAGCTAAAGCACATTTGCACTAGGTTCTAAAGTGATTGACTAACTGACTGACAGAATATGTGGCTCACTGGTTCCAAGTTGAGTGTTTAGACGAGCGATAGACATTTTTAAGAAAAAATCAGTTCAGGAAAGCAGTGACAGCTTACAGATACATGCACTATATGATCAGTTAGTAACAATCAATGTTATGTTGTATGGTTATTTGTGTTAATCGAGTTCGATCAACTACGGTGGAATGCATGAAATAAACTAGGTGGTGTGATACCGTGACGCCTTTATTCAACGATAGATAGTTGGAAGCAATCAACAGGAAGCTCCATACATAAGTTTTCCCGCTACCTAAAACTTATCAACGAGGTTCATTAACAATGGTGAGGGGGAATGATACTCCTTGTTGGATTGCGAACACATGATAACTAGTATTAAAATAAGATATATCGCCAATAAGATGTTCGATTACTTTCAAGAAGGGATAAAATCAGACTGAAATTTCTCAATGTCTTACAAAACTTTTTATTATAAAAATAGCTCGTTAGTGAGATCACAGTACAAATTAATCTCAAGAAGGAAAAAAGTTATTCTAAAAGTTTAATGCAAAACATAAACACACCAACAATGATACTTACTTTTCCCACTTTACGAGCTCCATAAACCCGACAATAGAATACAGTACGCTGTGTTGAACGACGTATAGCATCTATACGTCTATCATTAGTAATTATAATTGCTCTTAATAATGCTTCATTTGCAACAGTCATACTACCTGATGCTTTACTTAAGTCAGAACGATGTGAAGCAAGTAGTTGTGATCCAGTTAAACCGGACGTCTTGTGTATTACTGATGACATGTTTGTATTTGTTTGTTTATTTCCAGTTAGCGTAACGCTATCATAATGATTATAATCACCATTTACAACGGATGGCCATAATGATCCAGACTCATAATAAGTAAAGCCTAAATAAGCGAAATATTCAAGCAGCCGATTTGGTTCGAGATAAGCTGTCAGCCTATTACATAATGGATAGAAAAACAAAAAAAACATATGCAACATGTTGAAAACGAGAATTCAGAACCATTTCCAGTGGAAAAGTATTGGTACACCACTTTTGTAGAAAGACAAATATAACTTTATAGTTTGCATCACAGATTGATATGATTTAAAAAACAATCGAAAACTGAAAAGCACTGTGTAGTTCTTTCACCCAAGTACGGGACTCATCAACAAGGTGCATCAATGACTTCATACAGAATCAAACCCAAGACATTCAAATCCTTCAAAGAATGTTTAAACTCTAGACAACTGGCTCAATATCCCACTTTTTACAGGTTTAGCTTTCCTAAACTCACGAAATTACCTAACCATTTTCTAATATCACTAGTGAGTAACGGCCCCGTACCCGATATGACTGAACTCTACTGGTCATGGTTTCTTACCAGAACTCCAGGAGTCATCATTCAAAACCAGTCACCCGTGAGCATATGATTATTTTTACCGTAGGAATCATGCGCTTCTTAGTTTTCAATATTTGTCTAACAAAGATCAATCAATGCTGTACACTACAAAACCCAACTATCTCCACAAACCCTCTGCAATAAAACAAAAAGAAATAATCAGTAGTGAGCGTTAGAAAATCCATAGAACAGGATTTTTTTATTCTGTTATCTAATATTAATGATGTAGAGAGACTATGTGAAAGAATTTATCACCGAAACAAATCAATAGATAACCATTGTGATACCTTTCTTCAACGTTCCTAGGACCATAAGCTGACAATCAATACGTTCATTATGAATACAATGATAGTGACTGGATATGAACTTTGTGTGTGTACTCTCGTTCAATGTGACAATTATATTCCCTGTATTAATTCAGGTGAACTAAATTTAATTTTCTTTTTTACAGTATTTCTCCTTATGTGATATCATTAGGTGTGTATGAAAATTAGTCTATAAATGATTATATTTCCGTCTAATGACAATATGATTTTGGGAATTGTGTTGTTTGTTGAGTCTGTCAATCTTCATTACACCAGTTTTTCGTGTGGAGTTTTGAGATGAAAAACTAATTGAAAAGAAACATTTCTTCATTCAGTTTGTGTTCTTAACTTCTTAATACACTGAAATAGCAATGTTTTTGGTCGATTAAGTGTGCAGTGAAGAGGGGTTTAGACAAATGATAAAAGAGGAAAAGAGAGATAATTATACTGAAAACCTATGATTAGTCGCAGTTATTGATTTGATAAATTTACCAAAGCATAGTCATGTAAGTGTGTATGCGGAAAGACAAGAGATAATTTGTCATTTTCAGATAACAAAGTGAATAATTTGAAAGAAAAGAGATACTAAAATCTTATAAGACTGGAGAAGTAATGATAAGGCAGTGAAGGAAACAAATAATTTTTATCTTTATTATGTAGTTTACATAATCAGATTTAAGACAGCCTTTAGGCTGGAAGGTTAATAGTGTCCATCACACGACTGCGCGGAATAAAGTGAGATGGAATTATTGAAAATGACAATCTATTTGATTGGGATTTGAGTGTTTTAAGCACTAAGCGCCGTCGTACTATGTTCGTTGAAGTAAAGTTTCATTAGTTTACAATGTTGGCTCGTTGCTAAATAAAGACAAAAGGCAAAACACAATTACAGGAGGATTGTATTGTGGGTTCATAATGTGGGGACATAATCGAGTAATGAAAAAACACGATACCGTGTTGTCATGTTTTTTAAACAAAACAGAACAATATAATATTTGAAATCTGGTAGCTGAAACTTCAGACGTCACTAATCTATTGCTTAATAATGGGTCTTTTGATTGGTGATTCAATTAATCTAATGAAATAACACCTCGGATTTCCACAGAAAGAAGCATATACCAAATATGCTTGCATTGTTGCTGAAAAAGATCATAAGACACTGGATTTTTTTCATCGAAGAGAACTATGTTGTATGCGTATTTAAGCAAATAAATGGACCTCTTTTAAGAGTTCAATCGCTGAAGAGTTAGATTAACACAAGGTGGTTTTTAGGACGATATCTGCGACATTAAATAGGAAACTCTGATGGACAAAACTTAACGTTGGCAATTCTGGTGATAGTTCGGGGTAAGCCCTAACTAAAACTAATAGTCATTTGGTAGACAGAGCTCACAAAGTTTGTGTACTTATTTGATATACCCTTTAGTGACAAAATCAATCTCAAAGAACTTCTCGATCAACAAGCCGAGGTGAAGAATTTGTTCATGAAACCAAACAGGTATTCCACAACATAACCCCACAAAATGAGTATGCTAATGCATCTATTTAGAATTTCAAATGTGATTTAAGTGAAAAGTATTCAGTTAAAATACCATTACTATATGTTACCTATCAGTTAACAGATCAATAATCAAGGATGGGAACGAAGGTCATTTAATTATTCTCATTCTAACCGATCACAAAAAGTGCCATAAAAATAAAACCCAGAACAATATAAATTAATTATTTAGTAAATAACACCCACAGCCATTTATTATAAATTGTACTTTAGTTAAACAAGTGAATTATTTTATTAGTTTCTCTAGTTTATATAGAGGTACAAAAATGCTTTTTTTTGGAAAATGCTCATTATTCTTGAACAAAAGACTTTGTCCCGAAGTATTCATACATACCTAAGGATATATGAAACAAATATGAATAGAATACTTAAAAAATAAAGTACACGGACAATTCCTAATAACCAGACTTTCAGTTTATGACATTAGTATGTATGTACAGAAACTAACAAAGTAGGCTTCCTCAAACGAATCTTAATGTCATCAGTGCCTACTTCAAGTAGAAGTGAATTTAGAAAATACAGTTCATCAGAGAATAAATTAGTCCAAGAGTATTTGATATGCAATTAAAAGAGCAGTCCAGGAAGTGTGTTTCGTCTTATTTAGGACTCGTCAGCTGTGAACGTATGTACCTACTCGCATCCCTATGCTCATGTTAATGTTTACACTGGGGCTCGAGCCTAGGACCCTTCAATTCAAACGCTTGATGCATTCTTTACTGGTCCTGAGTCGAAATAACAACTTTTTGAACGAATACGAAAGCATTAGCAAAGGCGTGTATGTTGTGAACAGAGAAACAAGAAGCCTTGACAAACTACGGAAGCTATTTTTCAGAACGTTATATCAATTAATTTAAAGCTTGTAAAACATTAACATTTATTTTTGTCCCTGGTTTATTCTACAGAACATAAGTTTTCGTTCGATGTATGATTCACTGCCATAGCCCTTTTTGTTCCGAAGCTATTGTAATTTAAACGTATTATTCTGTACTCTATTTTCTACGTTAATCCCCAGTTTTGGACATAATTGTATTTTCCTAATTATTGTACGGTGTGGTCAGGTTAGCAATCTATTTATTCATGTACCTTTTTACACTAATCTGAAATCGGGAAATCGGGAACCAGATCGGAATCGAGAATAAATCGGGTAGTGTTCCAGTTGTCTTGTCTTCTCTCACTCGCGTGCTTGTCAGCCAATCAAGTGATAGAATAGTTTTCTTCTCTCTACCCCACTTCGAACTCACGCGTACTAGCCTCAAGGTCAAGCCAGTTTCTATATGACGTTATATTAAAAAGAGTTCATCCTTATGATATTGTCCAGAATGACAATAAACTCTTTTCAATTAAACTAAAAAACAGAGAGAACTCAATAGGATACCCACAATATCCATTTAAACTACAATTATTCTCTATCGTTATAAACAGTGATTCAAATCAAATTTTAATATGTTTACACATTTTTTTTTAAAATATGAAGTTTAATATTGTTTCATTACAACTTATTAACAGGTTTGGGAATATCTATAACCTAAAGGAAAAACTTGTACTTAGTCCCAGTTTCACGCTTGCTGAAGATCACGAATGAATCTTAATTATCTATTCACATATAACATGAAACAAATAAATACTTCAATATATTTGCATTCAACATTGAATTATGAAATTTATAGAAGTTATTTATTGATTAACCCATTTCTTTGATGCACAATTGACTAATTATCCGCAACTAGACTTAATGTAAATGAATTATACATGAAATATAAATCAGAAGAAAAACTATAACTAATTTGTATTAATCACATTTAATAACTTAAATACAACTTACTCACTTGAATCCCTATGAAATAACGGCGGTTAAATGTAATTGCATATTAAACACACACACACAACATTTAAGAAAGATGATGCCGATGATTTCAACGAGAAAAAAAATAAATCAAGGGTACTCAATATCTCTCTATTCAGTATACAACTTACATCCAAAATGCCATAAATCCTTGACGTGTAGCCCAACCCATAGAATTTGTTGCTACATATAAACTCATATCAGTTACATGGTTTAATTGATCCTCTGGACAAGTAGCAAGTAATTCACTTAATTCTGCTGTAGACAAGCATCCATCTCTATCCTATATGAGAAATCAAAAAAATATGTATATATGGAGATGAAATCAATCACACAACAAATAAACGAGGTTATTTTTTATATTACTGTTAATCAAGATGAGGTTAATGGAGTTAACTAAGAATTATACTGTTTTGTGTATGTATATATGTATAGAAGTCATGGGTTAGGATTACTGTCTGGTTACTATATATGTCGAAATCGGTCTGAAGTTGAATGACTTAACCATTAATTAATTCATAGGCTACTTCAAAAATACAACAAAGAGTTTTCTAAGCGAATTAGAACGTTGGTATAAAAATAAATAAACCATTTTCCTTAGGATATTTTATTTTCTGTAAACTGGATGATAATGGTTTATTCATTAAGTGTTCACTATCTTTCTCGATGAATAAAAAACATAATTGCTTTACTATGTATGTATCGGTGATGTTGTTTATAAAGAACGCTTCACGATTAAACTATTCAGTCTACAGAATATAACATCTTTAAAGTAAAATATTTTGTCTGAAGTCTCAAGGAATAAATGTATCACAGTAAGTATTAAATATTTGACTTTCTTTTAAGTGAGGGTCTGACAGATATATCACAAAATAGACTTTCTTAAAGCCAGACCATATGCTTTTCATTTATGCAAGAGACGACAAGTTAATAATATTTGATTCCAATGCTCAATGACACAAAGTATTAGGTACATATGCTTTTATATAAACTTATCATAAACTCTATAAATGAATTATTTTACTAGACTAATAACCATTCATTAAAATGAAAAGATCAATCGTTTATATATTTTTATAATGAATCAACTTTAAAATAATATTGTACTTCCGAGAGCTATAAATTTCTTTGAAGTTAAATATTATGAATTATCTTATTACAATCAGAATTCTTAATATAGTCAACATAAGTATAAAATCCCATAAAGGAATATTACAGCCAACCATTCAAATGATACATACAATAATACATTTATAGATACCTAGCTTGTGAGATTATTATTAGTCAACTTTTTTTCTCTGGACGCTACCATTATGATGTGTACTACTTATATGAGCTGATATAAGCAGTATATATCAAGAATTGAAGGTAAGATTCTTACTGACAGAAGAACATGAGAAGAGAATGAAATATGGAAGCAGTCTAAGTAGCAAGAGAAATGGAAGAATGACGGAGTTTGTGAAAGGCGATTCAAGGAAGATGTGTGAATGTTCTGTTCAATATATTATTTCCATATTTTACAAATGCAGTGTGTGATTTCGATTAACACTATAAAATGATTTACTCTTTCAAAGACCTCGCTGATTACAGCATAATCATTGTCAGCTCATCTACTATCAATCCTACTAGAAATCTAGTTTTCGATTTGTTATCTTCTATATATGTGCACTATCGAAGTATTGAGATTTAGGTGGTGTTTGGAGGTAGTCAACAGGTCTATAGGTTGGATCGATTTCGATCACTGGTTCATGATATCAACAAAAATTCATCAATCTCTACAACCCTATGCTGATAATTATCATATGACTAGCTTCGACAGGCGATTCACGGAGTTTTAGTGAGAAACTGTGACAAGTGGAGTTCAACCATGGCGAGTGTAAAGGAGTTACCTACCGAAGACAATGGAAGATAGCCGCGCAACATCATGGATTAGTTTAAGTTAGACATTAAAATCGGATGCTGACTCAACGGTCTACAGGTTAAGTGTTCTGATGCAAGACCGAATTTCCTGTGTTTGGGCCTTGCTTACAGGATCGTGGATGTACACTATTGGGTAGTCCCGTACTAATACAAAACAACCGTCCGGTGCTTCCAGGCTTTCAACGGTGATCCAAAATTGATCGGTTCATGATCTTAGTGAAACCTAACTATCTCTACAACCCTATACCGATAACAGACAATGATTTTGTGAACTGATAATATGTCTTGGCTTATACGCCCTATAGCCTTTTTCCAATTTCATCCATCGCCAGCAAACATCTAGAGTTATGCGTTTTCTGAGTTACCTAATTACGTACTGATGTCTTTCCCGACTGTAGCTGCTACCTTAACGTGGTAGTCGAACCTTCCTGTTGTGATGAATTAACCAAGATTTATTGAATGGAATACATGTTTCTTTAAGTCCTAACATGTCAGGTAGGACCGTAAGACTAGAAACAGAAAATTAAGGCCCGCGGGCGAAGGCTTACTGCTGACTATAAAAGGGCGTGATACAAGTAAGATGTTTTCCTCGGACAAATAGAATCTGGAGCGATGTGTCTTTTTAAAAACTGAAGTAAGGGGTTAGAAAAGGTCGGGCCTAAGAATGCTGCACATCAACTTACTCCACGGATTTCTGTCTCCGGTGGTAAGGCCCTCCAATAAGCAGAGCTAACACACCAAAATCTTCCCATAAAAATACCATGCGTGACCATCATCAAACAGTTGTCCCTCAGGCCTCACGGTCACGTTTCCAGGTCGTGACGACCACTATTTATCCAGTGTTCTTTTCAGGTCCTTCAGAAACATATCCTTTCGAGTTGTGGGCAGCCGTGAAGCGACAACCGCCCTTATACCTACAACGGCAACCGAGATCATCTGACTGATGTATTTCGTGTTGAATACATATTTTCTTAGCGTAGAATTTTATTCCCTTTTACTGCTAGCCAATAAAATGTTATGATTATTATTGGTTTTTAAGAAAAATGAATACCCGGATTACATAAAACATATTTAAAGACTTTTTTGAGTAAAAAGAAAAATAATTTGTTAGCCAATTTTCGGCTCTGAAAAACCAATTGATAAACATGTTTTTAGTTAATCAGTTAGGTTATACAGTTTCGAATCAGTTTCAATGTAATTTGGCCTAGATAGTTGGATAAGTGTACATAGACACTACAGCTGTATTTCATATAATCGACTGAGTAGAATGCTGTAACGCGTTAATAAGCAAAAATTATTTATTTTTAAAAATTTATTATTAAGAATGAAGGATTTCAAACAAGAACTACTCCAAGAAGTCTTGCACTGAAATGATTACTATTGAATAATTCTTTAGATAGATTAAAATATAAACTAAATTAATTCTATGAAATAAGTAGTATAAGAACATTTTAAGTGTTTTGTCGACACATATAAATCCCTTTCGCATTTTAATATGCAGTATTTTCTTGTTAGCCAGAGTAACTAAGAGATTATATAACTCTGGTACCAAATAAAACGGGTTTTAATCTTACAAAATGCCTTACTTCACCAAACCGCTAAGTCACAGATCCGAACTTTGCCTCACCTACTTCTGTTTGGGTAGCCGAGTAGTATTACTAGCATTCACAACGAAATTTGTGTGTGCATGTGTACGTAACACGAATTAGATTAATTATACAAAAGATTGATAAGCCATTTTAAATAATATGACTATAAAAAGTGGTTAACTGAAGAAAACATTAAAATTCTTGAAAATATATACGTACAACAAATAGCGCTTACGAAATAGTAACTGTGCTTAGTAAAATTAACAGATAAACGATGCCAACGTCAAAAATTATATCATGATACTACACCATGTTAATAAGGTTACATCAGTAGTTACACGAATATGGGAATATACCGTAATAAATTAGATACTGTGTTATTTATATTGTAATGTTCCTATCTATCATCATATGGATGGACGAATTAAAAGCTAGGAAATTGGCCAGATATTACGATAGTCAAAAATAAATAAAGCAATAATTGTTGATTAATGAATTCAGTGTAACGATTAGATATAATCGTGTAACAAAATATACATCGAATTTTCAGTATTTGTTTGATAAATGAAACAACTTAAGACGATATTAAACGGTACGAAGTAAACTAATTACCTATTGTAATAGTATGAATACCGAGGATTCTGTAAATTGTGGGAATAATCATGCGAAAAATTATCGTTTATATTTTTATTGTAAATTTTTACCAAATGTTTGGATTATTGTATTTTAATATTCTCTTAATTGTGATCTTTCATTTGAAGTAGAAACTACGGTTGTGTATTTTACGTTACTTAATAACAAACCTATCTCCTAACGTTGTCCTACTACCTTGTGGATTAGATCTCTAGGTCAAAGGCTCAGGGAATAACCTCTTAAGAAAGCCACATGTTTTGGTTTGGGCGCCCGGACAGTATTCCAGCCCTCACACAAATTGAATAGCGAAGTGTGGAGCAGATATTTTTGGTGTCTCCTTATTGGTCGCTGCGTTCACTAGTAAATTAGAATATTCTACAATCAATATAGATGAGATATTCTATAAGACGACACCGTAGTTATCTACTTCAAAATAAAAAGTAACCCGAACAAGCAGGGATAAAGCAAACAATCTTTATTTTTAGTTGAAGATATAACAATAACATTTGGTTCTATATAATAATATTATTAATAATCGAAAATAATTTATTTAACTAAATATCAGCATTTAAAATTATAGGCTGATGAAACAAAAGTTTCTTCATTGCATGATTAAACGTAATAGGGTTATTCTCATTGGATAGTTCATACACTTATATTCTTGAACTAATTATTTAACCAGATACTCCTTTGTAATTTTAGTGTGGTTAGAAAGGTGCAGAAGTAGGTGTACCTTGATTGAATAATCATAAGACAACCTTGTTATCTTTTATTTATCTAGGAATTATTTGTAACAAAAAATAAAGCAAGGTACTAACTGTATTTGTCATTCAATTATATCGTTTAATATAACCATTTTATTTATTCTCGTATTGGTTCACTTGATTATTTGTATTCTTTTTCAATTGTTTGTATTCGTTAGAATCAATTTGAATATCAAGGTTACTAGTATTACATTATCTATATTGAATGTGAGGATGACCGTCTATTCAGTAAAACTGCTGCATCTCAGTCAGTCAGTCAGTAACAACGTAGAACTTCGTACGTACGTACATCAGTTCGAGTTGCTACACCACATTAGCACAGAGATGCAGTGGTCGATTCAAATCCCGTAGTGCTAGATGTAGTAAAATTATATGCTGTAATCAGAAAAATTAGGGTTTGAAGATGTTATTCAAGGAGAATAATACAGTGAAATAAATTTGGAAAGAGAAAAAAGAAAGGGACATGAAGAACTCAGAAGCTTAGAATTTGGGAGAACACAAAGAGTGGATGCGCCTCTACTACTGCAAACGATTTTCAGACATGTCATTCAGGGTCTCTAACCATCGGTTGCTATCATCTCGTGGTCCCCAACCAGGTAGTCTACACCTAACAATATGACTCAGTCCACTTGTCAGTGACTTCATGGACTTGTGCCATGTTTTGGTCTGGCCGCCCTTAGCTTTCTTCCAATCTACTCCTATACAACAAAACATCGCACATCGAGGCAGTCGGTCGTTGGGCATACGTAACATATGTCCAAACCATCTCAACTGATCAAGTTTTACTACGTCATCAATTGATTTGCCATCTTTACCTAGTACTCGTTTCCTAACAACTGCATTACTTACTCGATGGTCCCACGATATACGAGCAATATTTCGAAGACACATATGATCAAATACTAGTAACCTACGAATATCCTCTACTCTTACTGACCATGTTTCACTACTATAAAGTAGGACGGAACGAACTGCTGCGCAGTAAACCCGTCCTTTGGTTGGTAGGCGGATATCTCGCCTACGCCATAAATGATGCAAGTAGGCAAAAGCCAAGCGAGCCTTCTGTATCCGTGCTGAGATTTCGTCACACACCAGACCACAAGGGCTGATGAGACTTCCAAGATAAGTGAAGCGATCGACACGCTCAATTACTTCACTCCCTATCATTAGTTCGGGTGTCAATGCAACCCAATCCTGAAGCAACATTTTGCATTTCGAGGGGGAGAATCGCATTCTGCTGCATCTAGCCTTTTTGAGAAGTTCGACGTCCACTTTGTGCATCAATGTCGCATATAAAAGTGTAATTATCTGTGGAAATTTCATTTAAAGTATCTTAATCTATCTACATGTGTTTTCTTTGAATGGAAAACTGTAGTACATCCCAAATTAACAAATGAAAGAAGCAAGCAGAGTGAAAGTTAAAGCTAGGAATGAAATCCTCAGTCAAAATCATACTGTTACATGCAGCATTCACTAATTAAATAACCGGAAAAAGGTTAGATATTGAACAAACATTAAACATAAATTAGAAACATGTATCCTATCTCCATATCGAGTTTCATACTGGTTCATTTTCATACCAAATTATACCATAATTATTAGGGTAATAGCACAATTTGTTTGGGTAATTCCCTCCTGCTTGTAGATTAAAATAAATTATCTCTTCTAATACACTATTGTAATTCGTATTTTAGGGTCATGGGAACAATGAAGAATTAATGTTATCTAAATGATATCCATTTTTCCATTTATTTCTCACACATTACGAAATATTCCTACAGGATAAATCTCGGCAGATTCGATCGCATGTTCTAGCATGGACACCCAGGTTGTATAATCCTCACCCATAAGTTTTAACACAACTTCGACTAATAGTTTTATAATATACACTGTGTGTACTTTATCATGTTGCTGTTTCCAATTTCGCTCTCTCAGCTGGGTGGTTTGGTTATGAAGCTTTTATTGCCTGTCTGGACAATATCATCAAAACATACGTCTGTTTAAACTATATGCTGATAAAAGTGTCTAGAAAGATGATGAAAGCTTCACGGTTAAACCATCCAGCTCGAAGAACACAACACCGCCAAAATCCACATTCTGAATTACAAATATTCTGTATCATCTCATTTCGAATTTATAAAAAACTGGTGAAATGTTGCACAACCATTACTTATGTGTAGATTTCGATAAGTTTTGTATAAATAATAATTGAAGTTTGTTAATAATTAGACACCAAAGCGCGTAACAATAACAAGGAGTGAATTATATAACAGCAGAACTTACCAAGTCATATTTATTGAATAACGCGTTTAAAAACTGTATCCCCACAGGTGATATTTCTGTACTGCATCCGGAAGCAATGCAAAATCTAGTAGAAATAATTAATTGAAATTAGAGAGATACGAACATACTAATTAATTTATTCGTCAAAAAATTGACAAGATTTTCTTGAATTTATTGAGTGATTATCTCTCGGCAAATAGAAATCTATTTATATGAATGACATGATAGTTTTGTAGTTGTAAATGGACAGTAAGTGATTATCAGTGGAGTAAAAAAAGGATTGTTTTGTGTTGTGTGTGATTTGTCATTGGTCATAGGTTATATGTTGAAGATATAACAGTAAATAACTTTCTTACAAGAAACGTGAAAACGTTATTGTTATATCTAGAGCCTGTATTCTTGTTATAACACCTACAATCTGAGCACTTAAACGCCAGAACCTTCCAAGTAACATGCTAGAAGACAGAAGAACAGTAGGAAGGAATCTCATTCTAAACAGTGTCGAATATGGTATAAAACACTTAGGTATTTATAGTTTTTAGTGAAAATAAAATCATCATTATAGTCATCCAATCTACATGCAGTGGTTTTTAGCAATTGTCCTATTGGGAAGATACACATCGAGATTCTGGAATGTTCTTCCAAAAGACGATTGGATGGAATGTCTTCGACTCTTCCAGAGATTCTTAGAGCTTCCTTGAGTTCGCTGAGGGCCGTCCCTACAATTTTGCAAACCGCTTCATTTTTTTGTTATTCACTACTGAAGTAATGTAACCGACGAATCGATATGATGATAAAGACGGAATCACATTGATAACATAAGAACTGACAGCAAATACAGTTATTTGTCCCTGCAGCACACGACCCCAAACCGAAAAGTTTATATTTCTATTTTGGTCGTAGGAATATCAGAAGTCAATACATGACATACGGAAAAAAAGAACTAATGTCTGTCAAAAACAAAACTCTCCAACCACTTCTCTACAGATCTACAATTACATCAGAATACTAAGTAAACAATATTTTACATCCAATGGAGCGATTCAATATCCAGAAACTCTTAGTTACAGCATCCGCGACTCTTTGTCATTAGTGAAACAATCTCATATCAAGTCTCTCCATATGAATTACTTTACCAGCAAATTTTCCAAACTCTGGAATAATTTATCTCGATCTGTCCGTGAAATAGAACCGCTGGCATCATTTGTTCGCTGCATCGATGCTTACTTCTCCTCTGAAAATGCCTTAAATGTACTTACTTATATATATCCCATTCCACAAATGAGATTATAAGAACTTTAAACGCTTAATCGTTCCTATTACTAGCCCCACTAAGTAAACCTACCTACTGATACTTTAAACAAACACCATCCTTGGTTACCTTAGCTGATTTGGATAACATTTAACTCGATCGTATAATAAACCTGGTACATATATTATGGGAGATCTGACTGACCTATCGTAGTAAATATTGCTTTTGTTGTTCCATACTCTCTGTTTTCACTTTATTTTCTCTAGTTGCAAAAGAGCATTATCTTTTATTTTATTTATTATTTATTTGGACACATAAATATTAGTACAAGGGGGCACCAAATATATATGCGCCACACAAAACAATGAGAAAGGGGAGAAAAAAAGGTAAGAAGTGTAAAAAAAAGAGAGGAACAATAACGACCAGATTAGTGTGAGGAAGTGTAATAATAATAATAATGGGGGAAATGGAAAGGTACAACCAGAAGAAATCTTTCAGTTAAGGAAGATACAACCACTTTTTATGAAGAAAGTAAAAGAAGGTTACAGCGGGATCGCCACTGGCTTCTATTCTGAGCCATATCTGATAACGTCTCTAGCCACTGTGTCGCACCATCTCTTGGATCCTGAAGAGCATTATCAATCCGTTATGGCACTGTAACTGACCTTAAATACATCATTCATATATCAACAGGATATCCATTTAAAAATAACTAATAGTTCCAGGCAAACGCCTTGCATTGTTGTAATACATGTGAAAAATGTACTACCTAAACAATATTTGAACTAGACTACTTCACACAATCTAATATCACATATGTCCCCGCGTTTATTATTGCTATTTCTATCAAGCTGATTATGCCTGTATTTGGCATGAACTCTGTTATTATTCTTTTCAGAATACACATATTAGTATATAAAAAATATTTGAATGATACATGATGATTGGTCTAACAATAGTGTAAATTAGGATAAAATTATTCAGACCATGTAACAACAACAGGATAAATCAAAAAAGAAGCTTCAACCTTATTGCTTAACACATGTAAATGTTCTTTAACCCCTTCTTATAATAAAAAAAACCACGAGTTATTGCATAAGTGAATACATTCAGTTTGTTTTCAATTACGAATAACAATTTGACGAAAGCAAACATAAACATTAGTTCAATGTATCTTACTAGTCGAGTACAGATTCATACACTTAGCTTTTAGAATGAGACATTTTTATAAACATTAATAATAATACTATCCATTTACTGGAATTAAAGTAGATTGACGAAATATTGGAATTTTTGTAGTCAACCATGGTAAACAATCAACACCCGTTTGAGGTCACCCCTAAATGTATTTACCAATTTACATGTACTTGTGAAAGGAAGTACATAGGAAGGATTGAAAGAAAGCCATCGTACAAGATTTTCGGGACATATTCCTAATAAATTGTATTTAACAGCAAGTAGTGTTTTCACAAGCGCGATCACTAAATATTCAATGAGTAATGGAAACGAAGCGGACGTCTTGAAAGTATTCAAAATAATTAGCAAACAACGCACACCACTTTTACTCTGCTTTACAAGGACTATTATCATCAATGACTTTCAACTTGACTTTTTTATGCAGAAAGAAAGTGTGGTAAACCTATCACAGTCATGGTAAGAGAGTTATATTATTTTAACACTATTCAGTTACATTATGATTGATGAAGAAATTCCACTAAACTTCATTATTCAAGACGTTAATTTTAATTTTGAGTTAAATAGATCCCTTGCTTATCACTAATTTGACAACAAGTTGCTTTTATTTATCGTCTCTTTTTTATCATTTATAACTTCATTCCCTTCTTTACATCACTTCATCTTCAATACATAAAATACCAATCAATCTTAACTATTACATCACATATGTTGCTTTCTCTTCATGTTTCGTATATCGTTTCGAAATAAATTTCATTGATTACGGTGTATATAAATATTAATTAAGTAACTTTAGGTCGTAATGACAGATATTCAGCTGTCCTGAAACACAGTGAATTCATTTAATTCTGTAAATCCTACTCACTTCGCTTTATTTAAACATACATTTATTATCAGTATAGCGCGAAACCGAATGTCCTGAATTCGAGTCTCGTGTATGGAATCGTGAATAAGCACTGCCGAGAAGTCACATACTAGAACGAGACGGCCATCCAGTACTTCCAGGTTTTCAATGATGATTTACCACTGATCGACTTATGAATTCAACTACAAACATACATTTCAGTTTTCAGTTTTAGATTTTAAACACAGATGATATTTATTGGATTTTAATGTGTTTTTCGTTTAATCATATAATTTGGAATTAATCAGTTAAATAAAAAAAACATGCACATTTTCACTGATTGAAATTACCCACACGTTTTTTTTTTGCATTAAAATTTGTGTTTAATCACATATCAGTAGTGAATAATGTTTTTAGAGAGAAAAAAAATGCGAAAAACTTTAATCATGATTAAAAAAATAAGAAAAGATCAAGAACTTTTTTAAAAAAATTTTGTAATTTATTAATGTTATATCCCCATGAGAATTAGGAATGGTAACTATTGGGAACTATTTATAGACCAATATGATACATATATTTTTATTGTATAATTGTTAGATAGTTAAGCTACACATATTCATGTTCCTATTATTAAAAGCTTTATTTTAATCCGTAGATTATTATTATACGAATTACCGTTCTTGAGTTCTGCCTAGTCTATTAATTACAGTCTCCCACATTTACAGCCACTTTTGGTTAGATCTTATGCAAATGTTATATTTTATTTTGTAGTGCGGTGTGGCCTGTTTGGTTTATATATATAAACCTAGTATGTTTGAAATACATGATTTATACAGCAGAGGCTGAGATTAGTGTTTTGGACTTAACAAGCAGGGCTAGACAGGAAAAAAGACCGATAAAGACTATAGACTGATCGTACGGGTTTATGCGTCATTGGTTCGGTCGACAGATCACTGTTTTCTAATTGGCGGTATCATTACGCTATATATTAATGGGGCACAAGGCCACAAGTTATTAGGTTGAAACATATGGTTTTCAATGAGTGAGTTTCAAGTTCAAATCTGACAGTTTTTTAAGGTGTCATATACTGTAAGCTGGACAACTTAGTTGTGATGTTTTTACTGTCTTTTTTCATTATCTCAAACTTATATTTTAAAAAATTGGACTAAACAATCAATTTAACTCTTTATACGGTACAGAATCGTGTATTCAACTTTGAGCTATACTCATGACGTGAAGGGTAACATGTTGCCCACATCAAAATGGAACACAGCCCGAGCACACAGCTTAGTGGACAAAAGGTGAATGTCTTAATTAATGGTGCATCCTTCTACAATTAACCAACAAGTAGGTAATAGAACATGTTGAAAGTCGAGTACATAAACCTCTACATGATTATTAGCTGCTACTACTAGTAGTAGTAGGTCACAGCACGGTGTCGAAAAGTAGCCAGTGAATGCTTAATTTCTTTTTTAAGAAAAATAGAAATCAACATACTTTGGATAGATAAATTGTTCAGATAATCTCATGTGATTACTATAGCCAAATCTACGTAATACAGTCCATGTAGTCTCATGACGTCCTTTTTGTATAAACATTAAATGCAGGAAAAGAAATCCTAAAACATATTTAATAAATAAGAAAAAAAAGAAAAACACTTATAGTAGTAACAAGTACAATCAGTAGCAAATGACCACTACTTGTATGCATTAGATAAAGAACAGAGCTGAAATCAACTGCTATATACCTCTTGTAAATAGTTAAACAGTAATTCAAAGAATTAAAGTCGGTTAGCAACTAGCAGTGGACTTAAAGATGTTCATTTCATCCTGTTTGAGGCTCGCCTGCTTGATTTGCCTGTACCCCAGCACTGATGGTTACATTAAAACCCGGACATAATAGTCTTTCGCCTCCAATGTCAGTGCATTATCTCCTGAGCTAATAATTTAAGATAGCTACTAGTTTGTGCACTGATTATAAGTTTCATTTATAAGGGTTTGTATATAATAGTAACTCAGATCAACAAATCAACGTGTGAACTTTAACTAATAAATGATTTTCGTGAAGCTCGTCAGCTTATTAACCGATAGACGAACAAAAACATCAATTACAGTTATTGAATCAAATGGATACTTAAGATAATGGGAACAAACAAAGCGTTGTCAATTCAGCAAATGTTTAAGACACAACCAAGAGAGTCTTTTGAATGAAAGCTTTACGCATGCTTCAAAGAGACAAAGAGAAGTCGATTAGGACTTCTTGAATTTTGCACCATTACTATTTTCACGGCCAAATTAATCAACCACCGCTGTCGACATTTAACTTCTTTGAGTAGATACCTTGATATTATTACCTATGGTTTTTTCTAGATTGAACTCAATCAAACTGATGAGAATTCCAGAGAGGATGAAACCGTTATCTTAAAATTCTTCCGGTAATTTTTAATCCAAGCGGCCCAATTCTTACAAGTTATTGATCACTTGATAGTGACCAAAAACATATTTGTCTAGTCGTCTTAATGCTGATCGAATTTATCGATGTAGTTGCAATCTGGCTACTATTCCAAATAACTCAAGATCGCCCGTACTATGTTGAGACGTTAGGTAGTTGGAGGAAGTCAGGAAAAAACCCTGGACCGAAGTTTCATGCCAATTAGAAGGTAACAGTAAGGAGTACCTGGAATCGTTATAGAACTGATTCTCTCAGCAAGAATTGAATGGGTCATCTATTTTCACAGTTTGGGACGTTGCTACTAAACGGGCTTGAGTCCAACAGAAGCTTTAGTCCCGTTAATGTTGCAGGTACAAATTGCTGGTAATTGGTGACCTGTACAAAACTATGTCTAGGACGTCCCAGAGATTACTTCCAATCAACTAACAAGGTACATTTTAGTATAATTTCCAAATAATTACTCGGAGAATCTTTAGTGCTTCGAACCATACAAATTGTACATACGACTACATAAAAGACTGATATCCTAAAAAACAAGAACATTCTTTTCTATACATTTAAATAAAAGTAATTAAATACACAAGTAGTGGTGACAAGTGTACTTTTAAATAAAGAGATGCATTTATTAACTAACCTTTTTGAGTTAATCCATTCACAGTAACACCACCGGGACATGATTGTTTAACCAATTGTTTCACATCATGTAATGATTGTGCTGTTAATGGAATAGAGAAGCAACGTGTCTGAAATGCTTCCAATTCACGGTCGGATAAATAACCATCATTGTCCGTATCACATATTCGAAATATTCTTATTAAAGCACGTATACACTCTGGTGTAAGCTAATAATAATAATAATAAATGAGAATATTTATATGTGAATAAATACAGCGGCACATCAACCATTCGAATAATTAATCATGAGACAATGAAACATGTGATACACTCTTAACAATTATTATTATTATTATTGTACATAAAAAAAAACATTTAAGGTCAGTGAGATAATTACAAGGTCTTTTACGTTTTATAAGATAAAGAAAAAAACTAAAAATATCACCAACGACGATAGTTCATTGATTTATTTAAACACGTAAACATTGGTACAAGGACACACCAAAAATATCTGCTCCACACTTCGCCATTCAATTTGTGTGAGGGCTGGAATACTGCCCATACGCCCAACCCAAGAGGGTGGTTTTCTTAAGGGTTTATTCCCTGAGCCTTTGACTTAGAGCTCTAATCCAAAAGGCAGTAATACAACGGTAGATGAAATCCCATGGTAGCCGGTGACTAATAATAGGTTCAAACGCCATTTGTTCCCTTGGATCCTGGAGCCCGTGTGCACCGTTGGTTTGGAATCAGAGTTTCCCAACTCTCCCAGGTGAACTCTCCGTGTCCACCAACCCGGTTACAGCCCCGGACATTCGCTTTTCATTCTCTCAATTTGGTAAAAAACACCCCTTCGCGAGGATCCATTGAGTAGGACTTCCGTGGCAGTGGCTGTATATGTGTGGCCATGTGAGAGCAGACTTTCGCAATATTTGGCCGTACCAGGGAATTCGAGGGCAACAACGTTACTATCATGTACAAAAGTACAATATTTCAATGCGTTAAAATTTACATTTACACATTATAAACACCGAGGTAATCGAAATAAAAACCTATTGGTATAACCAAGTACGACACGGATAGAGAGAGAAATATAAAAATGAATAATATTCTACTTCCTCCAAACAGCTCAAATAAGAAATTTGGCGATTTCAGAAAACAATATCACCATATCATTTGGTCTAAAAACCTTCCAAACTTTTATGGCATATACCTACATCAAACAATACTGTATTTCGAAATAAATTAGTGATTGAGTGAGTGTTGTACAGAGTCCTATCCTAATACTGATAACATAAGCTCCCTATACGCACGTCTAAACCAGCTACTGAATCGAAAGACCAAGAATAGATAAAAGAAGCATTTAATTGGTTAACCAAATCGATAAATGGCTGTACACTCGTCCTTTAGAAATTTAAGGCACAATTTACCACAAACGAAAGGGGCTGGGGATAGACTCCATGTTGTCAACTTTGGGTGCATCGTAGTCATTAATTACGGTTGTGTTTTGCTTATTTGGTCACTCAATTGTAGATATTCTGGAATAATTTTCGTGATAGGATTAACTGGAAGTATGCCTTTTGCTATATTGTACTTTTTCATCTATCTTGACTGACTGCACTACTCTTCACACGTCCGTAGCATGGTGAGTGGCATTTTCGTCGTAGAAAACTACACTTTTCATGCAAGCCAGATAAAACGATAAAGAACTGAACACGCCCTCCATGATGAATTGCGATAGCGTAAATAATGATTCTCGCCCATTTTGGTTGGTTGCCAGATGCTAGGTCGAAATTGCGAACGAGAGTAGAGTTTATCCCCAGTCATGCAAAATATTTCAATCGTTTGAAAATTAAGTCATATTTTCGTCAATCCTGTAGGCTTGATACTTGGCCAATGTCTGACTGACCTATTGTGTCACTTTTCTATGTAGGCCTATATTACCTCAACAAATAACAACACTGATATTTACAATGTGACGATGGATCTGTGATTGAACAGTTCGACTTTCAACCACCCGAATGCAGGTTTAAATCCCACGCTTCACCTACTTTCAATTTGAACAGCTGGATAGTAGTATAATTAACGTTCACACATAGCGTGACTTAAAACCGACTTTTCAGGTTTATATACAGTGAGTTAAGCAATTCAATTTCCTTATTGAATAAGAGGGATTGGAAAATTTTCTTCCGCAAAGCATTTCTCAACACTAACGAGAATCGACATTAATAGAATCATTGCTTAGCATAGATACAATGGAATTATCCTAAATCATTCACAAACAGGAGGACCATCGTTGCTTGGAAAAACATTTCCAGAATTTATCAACTGATAACGGTAATATTTTTTTCAAAAATGTAATCTTACTTTAGTATCACTAAATAGAGAAATAAGTTCAATATCTATAAACCACTCGTTAGTTATCAAGTGTATAAATCACTGAGAGTACAACATTCTTTTTTTAATAACTGACTTATACTATTAATTTATATACAAGAAACAATTTATAACAGAATCTCAATATAAAAGCGTTTAGATACGTGAACGAATAAATTTTCCGTTAATAATTCATCACTTGTTGAAGAGAGTGGAAAAAAACCAACCTTTTTTATGCATTGGCTCAAAGAGTCATTATTCAAATAGTGTATAATAAACGATAGACCTAAAAAATTCAACCTGAGGCCTCCTCGCGGCGCTGCTGGATAGTACGAACAACCTTGCTAACCAACTGAGATGGTCGATGGAGGTCGAACTAACCACCCACTCTGTTGTATCCTTGGTCAACTCGGGCTCCAACTCGAGGCTCATTTCACCGCATCGGGTCACCCGATATGTATGCTTATGTATAAGAATTGCAGAATTCCTCGGGTCTCTGTAGTTCGTGTATGTAAGTGTATGCACAGGGTGTGCGTGTGGTGTCGCACAAAGGAAGCGTTAGCTGAAATATTGTCTACCCTGTGTCTAATAAAATAGGCGGTCTAATCTCTCAGGTCGAAGACATAAAAAAATATGACAGCAAATACTAGGAAGGGGCAACCAACAACATCCCCTGAGAAAATGCTTGTACTTATGTGTGTCAGGAAGTACTAAGGCGGTAGCCATGAGCTGAATGATATGCATGTAATGTAGAAGAGACAGTCTGTTATAGAAAATACGTTTCAATGGGAGCGGTGAATATCCACCTATATGTATGTTATGGATGAATGGAATAAAACCTGGGTGTTACCGGTGTGCACGTAACGTATATCTGCTCACAGAGTAGGTATATCTGTATGTATACCAGGGAATACACGGATGAAATTCTATGTGTTACCTAGTATTCATGTAGACTATATCTATCCAGGGTAAGTAAAAACTTCAAAAATCCTTTACTTGCTCTTCTTACGACATCGAGAAACACGCACAGACCAGCGGGGCCGCGGTCTCCCACAAAACCACATCCACGCGGTGGGATTGTGAGCCTCGAAAATAGTGTTTTTCGGGAAGGGCCTACATAAGCGTTCCCAGAAAAAGATCCACCAACCAATCTAGCTGGAACACAACCACCTCCTCAAAGCAAATTTTCATCTGTTAAGATCATTTGACATTCTCACTGGTGTTCTGATTAGAAATTTGAGTTAAGAACTTGTGTGGTCTGTCAACTGGAGTTACTGTGGACAACATAAGAAAGTTACACTAAACGCTGAGGTAATCAGTTCACATATCATTAGTTTAGGTTTCACAAAGAAAAGCGGAACAATGCATGAAGATAGCCAAGAAGTTAAAAAAGAACATGATGGAGAAGATTTGGAGTTCAGTCGACACCTTTTGGTATTGTTGGGTTCTCAACACGAGATAATCTAATTGCAAAGCTTTTATTGTCACTTTGGACACAATCAAAGTTTACCCCAAGTATAAATGAGTTCTTAGTTATTCTATAAGTGTTCAATCAGCTCGACCTGACGGTCTTGTTGTGATTGGTTGTCTTCGTTGGTTTCATTGTCTTCAATTGCTTTTGTTCAGTTAACTGTTGATTATGTGGTTGATTGATTTTTTCCGTATAGGTTGATAGATCAACTTGGACTATTAGGATGAAGTGATACAACACTTGTGGTATAACTACAAAGCACGCTCATACATGAAATAAGCCCTGATGATGTTGGACAAAACGACAATGAAAGCTCCACATTTAGGCCATCTAGCTTACAAAGTTGAAACAAATATCAATGAAAAACATTTACTTACTTCTTTCTTTTCAGCATTATACAAAGGAGCAGTTGGATAAAGAACAGCTTTTTGAGCAAACCAAAATGTTTCACTTAAATTTAACATAGTTTTAGCTGAACACTAAAAACCGAGTATTTTTTTGTAGAAAGAAAAAAATCATAAATAAGAGACTAGAAAGTGAATGAAAAAATTGACAAGAGAATTATAAAATATATGGGAAATACAAATTGAATATCAAATATCCCGAATATTTTGATACTAGTTTAAGTAACATGTGCTTGGTCCTGTGTATTGTAGATGACTGACTGACTGACATGACTTAGAACTGATCCCAATGCTACAAATCCATTGACTCTAAGTTTTCCATTAGATTTCGAATTCAAGATTATACTGTATGTGCGTTTTTATTCTGCAAATTCATTTTTAAACTACAGCTTTTACTTTATGTAAATTGTGATTTAATTTGCTTGACAAATGATTTAGTCTCGACAATAATTAAAATAAAAAGGAATTCTAAAAAATAAAGGAATTATGTACATACAAATGCATTATTATTATTATTATTATTATTATTATTATTGATATTATTATTATTACTATTATACTGTACTACCTCGACTGGTGTTGTCTGGTGTAGAAGTAGGTTGGGAGAAAACTAGAGGTGTCCAAATCAAGACGTGGTATTAGTCCATGAAGTTATTAACAATTAGATAGAGTCATGTAGATAGATATAGAATGCCCGGTTAGGGTCCGCGGGATTATTTTAACCAAATTTGTTAGGGACTTTGGGTGACATGGCTCAGAATCCTTTGCAATGATATAGGTGCATTCACCACTTGTCGTCTTTTAGAAGCTGAGTCCTGTATTCTATTTAAACCTTCTTATTTATTTTCGTGTACCTAATTTTTTCCACTACTACTGTGGTGTGTGCTATTGATGTTGACAGATACTAGTAGTATGTATCACCAATCGAAAATGGAATGCTTGGCGGCGGAAGATTGAGAAGATAGAAGGGAAGAGAACACAGAGTGATTAGTATGGAAATGAAGAAACAATAAAGTCTGGGACAATTGATGGACATTTTGCAAATGAAGTATATAGTATATGGTTCTTAGATTTTACTAAGAGGTTCTGTAATTTTGTATTCAAATATATTTGGTTGTCCCCACTTGTGTTCTCGTTGACTTCACTACTACTGTTTTTACTCCTCAGTCAGTCAGTCAGTAACAACGTAGAACTTCGTACGTACGTACATCAGTTCGAGTTGCCACACCACATTAGCACAGAGATGCACTTGTCGATTCAAATCCCGTAGTGGTAGAGGTAATAAGAGTATAAGCAGTAATCGGGAAGATTAGGGTTTGGAGATGTTATTTAAAGAGTATAATCCAGTGAAAGAAATTTGGAAAGAGGAAAAAAGGGACATGAAGAATTCAGAAGATTAGAATTTGGGAGAACACAGAGAGTGGATGCACCTGCGCCATTGCAAACGATTTTGAGCCATGTCATTCAGGGTCTCTAACCATCGGTTGCTGTCATCTCGCGGTCCCCAACCAGGTAGTCTACACCTACCAACATGACTCAGTTCACTTGTCAGTGACTTCATGGACTTGTGCCATGTTTTGGTTTGGCCGCCCCTAGCTTTCTTCCAACCTACTCCTATACCACTGAACATAGCACGTCGAGGCAGTCGGTCGTTGGGCATACGTAACACGTGTCCCAGCCATCTCAACTGATGAAGTTTCACTACTTCATCAATTGATTTGCCATCCTTACCTAGTACCCGTTTCCTAACAACTGTGTTACTTACTCGATGGTCCCATGATATACGAGCAATGTTTCGAAGACACCTATGATCAAATACTAGTAACCTACGGATATCCTCTACTCTTACCGGCCATGTTTCACTGCCATAAAGTAGGACGGAACGAACTGCTGCGCAGTAAACACGTCCTTTGGTTGATAGACGGATATCTCGCCTACGCCATAAATGACGCAAGTTGGCAAAAGCTAGTCGAGCCTTCTGTATCCGTGCTGAGATTTCGTCACACACTAAACCACAAGGGCTGATGAGACTTCCAAGATAAGTGAAGCGGTCGACACACTCAACTACTTCACTCCCTATCACTAGTTCGGGTGTCGATGTAACCCAATCCTGAAGCAACATTTTGCATTTCGAGGGAGAGAATCGCATCCCGAACATGCTTGCATTGTTGCTTAGAGTGGTCAGAAGACTCTGCATTTTGTCAGCGTCTTCACCAAATAAAACTATGTCATCAGCATATTCTAAGTCAACAAGTGAACCTCCCGGTAGAAGTTCAACCCCTGGAAATTTAGATGAGGAGAGTGTTATCTCTAAAAGTACGTCGACCACAAAGTTGAACAAGAATGGGGAGAGTGGACAGCCCTGACGAACACCACTTGAGGTAATCAATTCTGATGACAGTTCGCCATAAGCTCTCACTCGACCAGTTGTGTTCGAGTAGAGAGCCTTTATAAGGTTAATGTACTTCTTTGGTACTCCTTTCAGTGACAAACACTGCCATAGAACCTCACGATCAACCGAGTCGAATGCCGCCTTAAGGTCGAGAAATACTACCATTGTGGGGCGTCTGAATGTGTGTCTGTGTTCTAGAACCTGACGTAGTGTGAATATCTGATCTATACAACCACGTCCAGGTCGAAAACCAGCCTGGTTTTCTCTAGTCTGCTCTTCACGAGCTTTGATTAGGCGTCGAAGTATTATTGAAGCTAATATTTTAGACACTATATTAGTCAAACTGATTCCTCTGTGATTGTCACAAGAGGACTTTTGTCCTTTCTTAAAAACTGGCACAATCAGTGATTGAGACCAGTCAGATGGGATTACGTCCAGTTCCCAAATTCTACCTAAGACCTCAGTTAATCTCATTGCTAATACTGGACCACCATCCTTAAAAATCTCAGGAGTAAACCTGTCAGGGCCTGCTGCTCTCCCTCGTTTCAGATTTCCTATGGCTTTTTCAACTTCGTAAAGGGACGGAGGACCTACATTAACTTGCCATTCAGGTTGACTGGAGATCGTGGGAAACCGAAGTGTGGCTGAAGGCCAGTTGAACTGATCCCTAAAGTGTTCTGCCCATCGATCCAATCTCCTGGATTGAGAATGAATAATATGTCCATCTTTCTCTGAGATTGTTTCGCTAACGGTCGGGTTCCTAATTCCGGTTTCCTTAACGAGTCTGAACAATTGTCTGCTATTACCTATTGCCGCTGCCTTTTCCATCTCTCTTGCTTTCGCTACCCACCACTGTTCGCGATCATTGCGTAGACTTCTTGTCAGCTTGCGCTTAAGCTGACTCCGCTCTTCATTATGTTCAGAGCCAGGTGGAATGTGTTTCCGAGCATCTATCAGTGAGATAGATGCTGCTGAGATCCAGTGTTGCTCCCTAACCTTCTGGTTTACCTTACTAGCAGATATCACTGCTGTTTCCACAGCTTTTCGGATATCATTCCATGCTGCATCGGGGTGGGCATCACATACATGGCTGCCTAACTGTTTTCCTAGTTGTTCCTGAAATATACTCTTAGCTTGACTATCATTAAGTAGGCCCTAAGAGGTTTCCTTGCAGCGTCTTTCCTACGTCCAGTAAGACGCAAGCAAATACGCGCTCGCACTAGAGCATGATCTGAATCTAGGCATGTGCTCCAGAATGAGCGACAGTCTTCTATCGAGCCCCTCCATCGGTGGCTGATAGCGATGTGATCTATTTGGGTCCAACGTTGGGACGAATTAGGGGGTCGCCATGTTAAAAGATGTTTTTCCTTATGCTTAAAGTTAGTATTTGCAAGGAACAGGCGGTTATCTGAGCATAGCTGCAACAGACGGTCGCCATTATCTGTTCTTTGAGCCACGACACCATAAGATCCACCTAGGTGTCTTTCCTTATCGCTTAGTTTACCTACTTGAGCATTAAAGTCACCGGCCACTATTACTACATCCGAGCGCCTAGCTTTTCGGAGAAGGTCCGAAAGCTTTCTGTAAAACTCATCTTTTACATCATCTGAGCTGCAGTCAGTGGGAGAATAGGCAGAGACGACGAAGAGGCAACGACGAGTGTCCCTATCTTTCCGGATTCTTACTGTTCCGTTCAGTCGGACAGCGCACAAACGACTGTCTACTGGGATCCACTCTAAGAGAGCTAGTTCTGCCCTAGGACTCAATGCTATACCTACGCCGGCGAGGCCACGGGAAGCAGAATCAGGGCTTCCAGATACACGAAGCGTAAATCGAGTCGGTTCTTTATTTTGGCATGGTGAGGTCAAATGAATGACGCTACTTGGATCCTGTATGCGCGTTTCGGAGACGCAGCACACATCGATGGCGCGAGATTCTAAAGTTTTAGCTAAGGAAGCCTGCTGTCCTATTTGGCAAAGTGTTCGTACGTTAAAAGCTCCTACGTGTAGTTTAGAGCGTGGTTTCAGGAGACCAGGAATGGCGTTCCACGTACTCGAATCGTTTGCCCTAGCGGTGCGAGGTGATAAAGAGACGTGAGGAGGGTTAGTCGGGAGGATAAGAGAAGTATTAGGAGGTGTAGGAAGGATTTGAATGTGACCACCTTGGTCTCTTGTGCTGTTACGGGTATGAGGGCTGATGTCACTTCCCGGCTGCCCACACCGTGGAAGGGTATTTCTTGAGGAACCTGAAAAGGAAATTGGATTAGTGTTGGTCTTGACGACCTGGGAGCGTGACCGCAGAGCCCAAGGGACAACTGCTTGAGGCCGGTCGCGCACGGCCTTTTTGTGGAAGGTTTTTGACGTGTTAGCTCCGTTCTTCAAAGGGCCTTACCGCCGGAGACGGAAATCCGTGAGGTAAGGTGAGGTGTGACATTTTTAGGGTCGACCTTTTCTAACCCCACCCCTCCTTGTGGGAAGGCAGCATCGCTGTCATGCTGGTTGTCCGAGGGAAACACCTTACTGCTGTCACACCTCTCTACAGTCAGCAGTACGACTTCGCCCTCAGACCTTGAGTTGCTGCTTTTAGTCTTACCGTTCGCCAATCGACCTGCCTGGCATGGTAGAACCTGCAGGAACATATGTTCCAGCCAATATAGCTCGGTTGGGTCATCACGATAGGCAAGCCCGATCACCGCGTCAAGGTAGCAGCTTCGATCGGGTTTTTACTCCTAAAACTCTGGGATTTTTCTTGATATGGTTTTTTCATATCCACACGAATAAATCCATTGGTGTCTCATATAGAATCACCTTGACCAAAAAATCCACGTAACATTAACATTGTCAAATCTATATGTATTTCGATTGAACTAAATATTTTTCCTTGTTCTTGTATACTACTTAAACTTGTGTTAGTTTGATTATTTAATTATTTATTTACCCTGAAGAAATAGCTTACATTAAATTACGAAATGTTAAAAATCCAAATGTCTGCTTATTGAAATATCACAAATATATCACTATTTCATAATAAACTGTCGATGGTTCTCTCCAACTGAAACTAGCCCATAACAAAAACTGTGATTATTTAATTCTTATAGTTTTAAAGACTATCAACAATGTACAAAGAAATAAAACGACAACCCGTTTCCCCACCACTATCACCTCAAACTGTACACATACCTCAATGCATGTTTCCACTTCACAGTATTCAGACATTAACGGGAGCATTTTCTGTATTTAAAAAAAGTTTAAATGACAATAACAACAAAATAATTTCTGAAATAAAACTGTATCACTAAAGAGAATGTTTAATGATAGCTTCCTAGTTAATGTAAATTATTAATTGAATCTCAATCACAAGTGATGATAGGGTTTCAGCTATGATACGAGTCTTAGAAATAAGAGCTACAAAGCTGATGAAAATCAGAATCTAGTTTGACTGGACTTCAAATTCTTAAACTGATATTTGAAAGTTAAGTTGCTTACATTAAGATTTCAATTATTCCCTATGTTCCAGATAAAAGAAAGTTACTTATTAGTGAACTTGATTTTTTTAAAATAGTTATTACCTGAGAAATTAAATGCTTTCTTCAGAACTGGAGAACAATGAATGATCTGAACAAGCAAGATGGAATTGCACCTAACTTCCATGCTGTAACCAATTTTCCAGTCGATCCATTTATTAATACTATTATCACTATTATCCTTATTATTACTACTACTTGGATCCCAGTTCTAACAGACCCAACGAGATCTACTACTGCTTTCCGCCGCTTCATATTACTTATGGCTTTATCATTTTCGCTGATACCTGAAAATTTTTGATGTCAGTCTTTCATTTAAATTGATTATGGACACAGCGTGCAACCATAAAGTCAAGTTAAAACACCAGCCAAGCTATTCCTCTCTAGGAGCTATTCCTGTAGTTCCAATCACTATTTTATACGCTTAATAGACCAGTGAAATAACTTTCTTTGCGATAAATGCACTAAATATCGTATTCTCAAATAATTAATATTGTCTATTGCCGTATCTTTGGTTCATTTTGATTCCATTATTCACAACTAATCATAGTTATGGCTAGATATTTTGGGGTAACGATTTAAAGCTATCTTCGATCTTGATCACGCTCATAGACTACAATCAAGAAGAGCTAACGAGCGATGTGAACCGAATATCAACGTTTTGGATGCTGATTGATAAGATAGTTTAAATTCATATTGCAATATATTGTGAATAATCTTACCGAATAATTTATTCTTTTGTTGAAACAACGTAGATTTCCTAACCAGTTTCGCATGGTTATTTTATCCCAGTTTGGAATCAAGGTTTTCCAACTCCCTTATTCAAATCCTACATACCCACGAACCCAGTTTAAGCACTGGACATTCGCTCTTCGTCCTCTCAATTTCGTAAACAACACCTCCACTGATAGAAAGCAGTGGATAGGACTTATCTGACAGTGGTTATATACCTGCGGCCATACAAGCATTTGGATACGTTGAGCAAACTCTATGAACCGTCAGCCGTACCAGGTTCGAACCCTGCATTACTTACTTCGGTTTGAGTAACTGAAGACTTGAATAGGAACCACACTATAATAGTGAGTGCTAATAATGCTACTTCATTGTGGAGAGGAGCTCGAGTCATTGGGTTTGTTTTGTTTTGTTTTGCTAACTTATCTTACTAACATTAAACGACGATCGGCTTTTTTTCTATTGAAACACAAATCGAACATACGCCTATCTTCTTTATAAAACCCTTTTTTCCACTGGTTCAGTGGATAATATAAGCATCCAGCAAGTACCCTTTTCTATTTACTAAAAATACTTTAAAAAGAATAATGTATCAATATAAAATAAAATAATTCTGCTTACATTTAATTTGCTTTCATGATTTATGTCTAATTTATTACCAACAATTACAATGGGAATATGTGTATCAGCATCAGTGCTGACATGTCGAATTAAAGGTAACCAATAGGATGATATCTAAAAAGAATAAATAAATAAACACTTATTAAAAGCATAGTATGAGTTAAATGTATTGACAGGTCGATTCCTTGTGAGATTATGAGTGTGTAAAATAGTTGAGGTCATTTACTATTAATCTTAATTATTTTAAAAGCATACAGATAACAGTAATCAGTGGCTGGAGGTGTTGGATGACAAAGCTCAGAATTGGTTACAGTGGCATAGGCGCATTCAATCTATATCATTTTATACTAGATACTAAGTATTCTAGTAATCCATCAAACACACCATTACATCATACATTTTCGTATCATATTTTCAACATTCAATATTTTTATTATTGTTGCTACTCAGTCAGTTCAGTTAGCCAAACGCAACGTAGAACCTGTCCAAATTGACATACCTCATTAGCACAGCAAGATGAAATTGTCAGGACAAAAACCACAGTAGTAGAGGTAGTAACAGTATTAATAATAATTAAAAAGATTAGGCATTCAAGATACAAATCCAATACATGTACCAACCATCTCAGTCAACTACTTCATTGCCTATCATCAATGCCAGCGTATTATTTCTGTCACTTTTGTTATTCACCTTGTCGTCGTTCCAATGACGTATGATGACTTGGGCCAAAGTAAATATGCGAGTCTTGACGTTGATTATTAACTAACATCGTTAAGGTGTTTCACATTGGAAAGAGACACTTGTTCAGTGAGCTCCTTGGTTTTCAGTGGTATGCGAAACTGATTTCAATATGTAACAAGTAAGGCCACCTTTAAAATGAACTAGTTTCTACAAAAATTACCTCTAACGCAAAATTGATCTAAGAATGCACAACTTTTAGCTCAACAGATCACTGATGAAATAGTAACTGTTAAGAGATAAATAAGACCGAATAATAAGACTAACTGTTATGTCCCGACAAGAATAATGAATGTTAACTTCTGAGGTCCATTTATGGACCAATACTAAACGTATATTTCTATTGTATAATTATTAAGTAACTAAAATAAGCATATTCATATTTCTCTTATTATAAGCTTTATTTTGACCCACAGACTATTATTATACGTTTTACCACTCTTGAGTTATACCCAGTATATTAATTACTACCTCCCTCATTCACAGCCACATCTGGCTAATTCTTGTACAAATGTTGTTTCATATTTTATTGGTACGATGTGGTCTGTTTGATTGGTATATAAACTCAGTATGTTTGAAATATAATGATTCATATCGCAAAGGCTCGGATTGGTGTTCTGGACTTAACTGGCTGGGCTAGGCGGAAAGCAGGGCCTATCAAGACTCTAGACTGCTCGCACGTGTTTTACGCGTCATTGGTCCGATCGACAAGTCACTGCCCTCTAATCGGTGGTCACACGTTATAACACTAATTTCATTGATGGTTGGTTGAGTGATTTGTTTCCCACAATTGCTTTATTGCCTAACGTAACCTTTAATCATATTTATAATTACTTATTTGTTGAATGATTATTAATTGGGTTTGTCAGAAAATTAATCTATTTAGCTAACCAATTTAACTATGGTATTACGTTTGATATCAGTTCATTGAAAAGTTTTACAGTTGGTCACTTCCACGTTTAATATGGAATATTATCTTTTATAGAATTTACGAGGTAAGTACTCAGTAAATAGAGAGATGAAAGCGTAAGCCAACAATGTAATGGATATCTCATTCTTTGATATTATTTCTCTTATGTATTAAGATTTCATAACGTTATGAATGAATTTCCAATTGTTATATTAAACGATTAAAATGTTGGTCGGCAGATTATCTCTATTGACATAATGAAGTTGAGTGATGACCGCACGAGACCGAATCATTCAAAGAAGTCCTAAATGAACCGATCTCAGAAGGCAAGACAGCTGACCAGTACAATAGGCTTTTGTGTAATAAAATAACATGCTTATCAGCAAAAGTGTTCGTATAAAAATAACACGATTAGATGGTATATACGAGTGGAGGGAATCAACTTTGTGGGTCACTCGTACTTCGATCAATTAAAACTTTGCATATTACATCGATTCCAATGCTCAAATAATTAGAGGAATAACATTCTCAAAATAAACTATTTTGTTCACTATAGTTTAAACAAGTTTCTAACTCAACAGTTTTATATAAATTATCACACATGATCCCTTTTATCGTTAATAATCGATCAAGAATCATTATGCTTAAATTCAGTATGTTATGTGCAAGGATAATCATCTTGTTTTACTGATTAATGAAAGTGCTATATCTAGCATTTTGACGTTCATTCAGTGGGGCAGTACCACATATAAGAGTGTAATTTTCAATGGAGATTTCATTTTAATCATCTTAGGCTATTTGTATATGTCTTCTTTGAATAGACTACTGTAACACATCCCAACTTGCCGGATAGAAAAAATAAAATAAAGTTTACAGCTTGAAGTGAAATGTTCAGTCAAAATTATGCTCTTGTATGCAGCACCCACTTATTGGATGAACGGAAAAAGGCCAGATATTGCAGAAATATTGACCTTTGGAGGACAGATACGCTACAATATCACGGACACATATCTGATCTCATTCATATAGCAATATTGTAAACTATCTCCCTCTCCTTTTCTCTGAAACATAGCTCGTATATGCATCATTCACATTTGCGTCGGAAATAAAATAGGCTTGAGAAACCAGAAAATATTTACTGTTTGTTGTCATAACGGAGAAATCATTCATCCAATCAGAGACAGCTATCTCATTCAATTTTACAGACAGACAATCTATGGGTAGTAAACTTCGAGATAAAGGATATTTCAAAACAAATAATAATAAATTGCCAGCAACTGAATTATCGAAATCAGTTTCGATTTAGATCAATTAATTTGCCTTTCGCCCCCAAATGCCCTGGTACGGCCGAGAGTGGGGAGAGTCCGCTCTCCCTCTCCAAATGCTCTAACATGGCCACGTGCATACAACTACTTCCAGGGAAGTCCTACTCACTGCCTTCTCGTGGCATTACTGTTGTTTACGAAATTGACAGGACGAAAAGCGAATGTCTGGCGCTTTAACAGGGTTGGTGAACACAGAGAGTCCACCTAGGGGAGTTGGAAAACCCTGATTCCAAACCAATGGTGCACATGGGCTACAGAATCCTGCGGGAACAAATGGCGTATGAACCAATCGTTGGTCACTGGTACCAGGGGACTGCATCTCCTTACGTTGCTCCACTGTCTTGTGAATCAGACCTTCAGGTCGAAGGCTCCGGGTGTGGCCCCCAAAGAAAAACACCTGCTTCGGTTTGGGAACCCGGGGAGTATCACAACCCTCACATATACCAAGTGGGATTTGTGTGGCGCATATGTATTTGGTGCCTCCTTGTACCAAGATCTATGTGTTAAAATAAATAAATAAATAATTTGCCTTTAAGATATCGGTTCCCGATACCAATGGTGTCTCTGAAAGGCTAAGAAGTTTATAGTTCTCTGTGGAACTGATAATAGTAATAATAGTGGACAGACTATAATTACGGACGACCTTAGGGCGATACCAAAATGACCTAGAGAAACTTGAACCGCTTACTAGATTTAATATAGGGTTGCACATTAGTGAGAGGAACCAGGGACAATAGTTACAGTTAGAAGTTAGGGTCAGAGGACTAGAGTTAAGGTTTTATCACTAACTGACATCAGCTACGATGCCGAAAATGTTGTTGGGTCACATGGATGAATAAATTTCGCGACAAAATCTAAATATCTTTATCTTAAATCTGATCGGTTCATCCATAAATTATAGTCCCACCGATTGTGTAGTGTGTATAAACAATTGAATTCTTTATTATTATTGTCTTGTCTGTAAATCTGTATATATTTAAAGTAAGAACACAGTCTTGAAGTGATATTTTAACTTAACTCAGTCAACTCTTCCTTTTTCTCAATTTTTTGCTGGACAGAAATCGAGTGTAAAGCGTTCGAGACGAAATCTAACGTCTTTACTAAATAAGCTGACTTGAAATAGCGGAATAATGTAAAAAATGTCGAGCAATTGAAAGTATAAGGAAACTTTGCTCTTCACAGGTTTTGGGATCTGTTATAACCCAGTGAAGATTAAATTATAGGTAACTCCCGAGGACTACTAACGGACTAATATTCCATAAATATTCTTATTGTAAAACTATTGAATAATTAGATTATGTATATTTATATTCCTCTTATTATAAGCTTTATTTTGACCTATAATTTATTATTGTACGATTTACGGTTCTTAAGCTATGCTCAGTCTATTAATTACTGTCCCCCTCGCTCACAGCCACTTTTTGGCTTATTTGTGTACACATGTTATTTTCTATTTTATGGTACGTTGTGGTCTGTCTGATTGATATATAAACCGAGTATGTCTGAAATAAACGATTCGATCTGATTCGATTCATATTACGGAAGTTGGTATTGTGTTCTGGACTCAAGTGGAAGGGCTCGGAGGACATAGGACCAATAAGGACGCTAAACTGCCCACACCGGTTGAACGTCATTGGTTTGGCATAGTGCGAAGATTGTATAAGCCGGATCCTGATTGGTTGATAAGTCGCGTGATAGAAAAGTCAGGCATCCAAGGTCATAACAGGATCAATGAATATCTACAACTCAGTCCTCATCATCCAACTTTTAATAACTAACCCAGCATGACACTCAGTCAGCAAAGATTTTTTCGACGTTTTAAACATCCGTTGCTGTTATAAGGCAAACACGCGTGTAAATCAAGTCTTTAGCTGCTGAACAACTCCTGATAATTCAATATTAAAGTGATAAATAATTAAAATGTTTATTAAACAAGAAATTTATGAACCCATTATTCACATAAAATTAATACTAACCTGTTTAAAAGAATTTTCATCATCTAATGCATGTACTAAACAGATTACATTCGCCCGTTTAATCTCTGCACATAAATGTTCATGGGATTGAGTTTGTGCAGAATAATCTACAATCTGTGTAGGGATATGTTCAGGTGTTACATCCTCAGGAATGGTAATCTCTTCTGCATGTGCAGGTACCTGGATCAAATATAGACAAAAAGAAACAGATCAATCGGCATAGATTTTAATAACAATGTAATCCAGCTATTTATTTCATACAAAAATAATTTTGGCTTAAAGAATGCAACCTGATGTGCTTGGAATCAAGCTACAGTGATCAAAATTACGGTAGAATCCAAGTTCACTTTTCTCATCGAATATTTTACTAGCTTGGAAGATGCATAGCCAACTACTATAGTTATATGTAGTGGTTATTTAGTCAGGTTTACTCATTCCAAATTCAAATCGATTTAAACTATGAAAAGTGAGCGCTCCACTAGACTAAGGGATTCAAGTATTTTCGTTTTAATTTAGTCATTTATAAATATAATATTTAGTTTAAGAACTAGGGCGATTTTACTCAAGGTTAGTCAGTTGCCTAGTGAGTGATTTATCAGCTCATCATAAACATAGATTGATACCGCTTCAAGATCTAAACTGAGAACCAGAGTGGACTGGATTTTAGTTATATTTTAGTCCAGATTTTTGAAATACATCCTGATGTACACTGACCATTCACAATTGAAATTAGTCTGATCTAAAATATCATTTAGTGAATAATTACTTATTTGTCGAGCACTTTTAAAAATTATAATCTAACGATTTAAGCAATCGAATTTTAACTATTGGAATTACTAAGTAACGTCCCAAATTTCCCTGAATCCCGCCTAAGCGGTTAGATAGATAACGTTAACATAGTCATACAAAAGTCTTCGTTCATACCATACAACTCATAAATCTATATACATGATTACCGACGAGTAACAAATAACATATTGCAATAAGTCGAATATTGAAAACACTTTCATAGAAGTACTTATCGAGAATTCGTCTCAGTTTACAAAATAATGAAAATTTTCTCGTACAATCTGGCAGTTTAGTTAATACGACAAACGTGAAGGACGATTTTTTCAAGATGAAGTTATTACAATTAGACGATTATTAATAAAACTAATAAACATAGTTTGTTCTGATTTAAAACTCGACAATAAAAATGTGTATATAATAGTAACCAAACCTGTTGAAGTCTAGAATCATCCATAAAACAACGTTAATTGAAATAACCCATAGTGTCATTGAATAAGAAAAAAAGGATTCAGCGAAGAAAATTTTCTTTTCAACGAAATCATATACTTAAGTTGTACATTCGTATATATAGCTATCTGGAAAATATGTCTATAAGAGGATAGAAAAGATTGCATCATAAAATGGATTCGAGACTAAATAACAAGAGGTTACGTACTAATCGAGGAACAAGGAAGAAAATAGTTTATGGGTCAGCTAATAGTTCAATTGTTTGTCGTTTTTCTTTTGGATACATAAACTAAAGTTATAGGTGCGGGTCCATATAGCTTCTGCTATATGTAGGAGACAGGATTGAACCCCATTGGAAGATGACGAAGGTATAAGATGAATAAACCGGAATGACTTGGTCTTATTAACCATATGACTACTGTCAACCAGGTGTGCCAAGATAAAGACATGTATTGTCTTAGTTTGGCCCTTTTCCAAACCATGCAAGTAGATACTTATTCATTCTTTCCATAAGTTCCCTGGTAGTAGGCCTAATATAGCTACTGAATTTGTGAACGCATAAAGAAGAAGTGAACTCGAGTAACTTATCCTTTGATTGAGTAGATATCGCTAGTCGACTGCAAAACGCTAATGCAAGATTAACTGTATAGAATGTTCTTTTAACTGCCTTCACTAAGTGATCATCCAGGAAATCGCTAGGTACAACCCAATGAGCTGTGCTTTTAGGAAAAAGACTTCATTATGAGCCGTCTATACCTCCACCTTCCTTTTCCTGTATACATGTAATTCTTCAAAAAGCTTCGCAAGTAACTTTCCTGGATTCGATTCCTAGATACGGAGTTGCGGATACGAACTGTTGAGGAGTCCCACACTGGGACAGAATGGCCATCCAGTGGTTTTACTTTTTCAATGGTGGCCTAACTAGGATCAGTTTGTGGGTCAAACTGAAAATGCCACGATTCCCTTAAAACCCTATAATATCTATTTATTCAAGCTCAACCTACTTCCTATGTTGAACTATTTTTATCACTACTACTAATGCACCTGTCTTCTTACTTTTAATTTGTATATTTTAGCTATAATGTGTAGCTATGTAACCTATTTCATTATGATCATCGACTAATAAGTCGCCTTAATTGGTCTAATATTTCCGTAAACCCATTTAAATATTCGTGTTTATTAGAGCAAGGCCTGATGATGTTCGCTTATATGTGTTGTTTTACTTTTCACAATAGGTATCTTTATTGATTGGAAAGCTACAAACGAATACGAAATAACACTTCATCAACCACCTCATTTGTCAATATGAAGTTCCAACAAATAAATACCTAAACCTTTAGTTCATTATTTAATGCAACTCATTAAATGCCGGTGTTTATGTAATCGGCTCCAAAGCTACATTGTATGTGAGAGGGTTTGAAACTATAATACACACTAGTTGAGAGCTAAGCGCTTTAAACTATCAGTACCATTAGCGTCACTGAGTAGTGATCAATGTTGTGTTTATACAGTCCTTTATTGTTCATTGAACTCTACTGACCAAGTTGAAATATGATCACTAGTTTACGTGAATCGACATAATATACATTAATTTGAAGAGGAAGTTGATAGGAAACCCTGTTTGAGAGAACTGATGTTCCCAGAAGTATTTGAAACTGTATCACCCAGTCTCACAGTCTGACAAGTTATCACTGAACTATTCGAGGTTTCTTGTGGACTATCATCTTCAACTACATACATCATCCAGAATGTACATTTAAATAGTTGTTTTCTCTAACTGTTCGGCTTCAAGAAAAAAATCTCAAGCATTTAGTTATGAAAATGCAATTTGCAATTGATAGGTTTACTGGTAAATAGCAGAGTTTAAAAAATTTAGACAAGCAAACGAGAAAAAAATGCTGAATAAACAATATCATCATATCTATACGAACATATTACAGTAATAAACAGGATCTATGAAATACTTTTAATATGTAGTAAGTGAAGGAAAACATACATTATAATTACTCCGTACGGGCAGTGAATAATCTATCATTTAGATTAGGAATATAACCACTGTACTTGTAGCGAAATTACGATTATCTATTAATCTTTAAAATATTCGTTAATTTAGCAAGACAAATATGCTAGTACACAAGTGAATTTCGATATGTTGTATAAAATTTATTCAATTTAGCCAGTTATATGCAACGTGGAACCTGGCACATATTTGTATCGGTTCAGGTTGTCACATTATAACAGCACAGCCAGATCAAATTATTAAGACGTGTCAGAGTAGTAAAAGTAGTAATAAAGTCAGTGGTATTAAAAGACTAGGCTTATGAAATACGATTTGAGAAGAATAACTCCGTGGAATATAGTATACAGAGAGAGAATAATTTTAAAAATCAAAGTCTAGAGAAAGATAAAGAGTGGATGCACCTGGGCCATTGAGACTGACTTTGAGCCAAATCACCCGTCATCTCCAAACATTAGTTAAAATAATTGCGCAGACCTCAACCTGGTAGTCTGCACATAACAACAGGCTTATAGCTTTACTTCAAAAGACAGAAATCCAAAACAAAACTTTCCCTTCAAGTACATTGTAAAACATCTTAGACAAACGAATTCATCCAACACAAGGAACTTTTTCTAAATATGGATAGTCAATGTATTATATCCTAAAACCTTATAAATTGTGGCCAAACATTCCCGATTTTAGTCTTTTTTATTAATCTCAGTCCAAGATTGACAAGGAAAATTAATGAGAAATGCTTTGCTTCAATTAGGTGGTAATTTTAATATAGCGGCTTGGATAGCTCAGTGGTAACGTCTCTGACTGTGAAGCTGGGTGACACGAGATCGAATCCGCCAGGGAGCACCAGTTCCCTCAAGATTACAGGTACACCTTGCTGACGAGTGCCTAGTAGCACGAAACCCGGGTTCAAGGTTTCCTGTCGACTACCTCCAACCACCATCTAAATTTGCCCCCAAATGCCCTGGTACGGCCGAGAGTGGGGGAAGTCCGCTCTCCCTCTCGAAATGATCTCACATGGTCACGCGTATATAGCCTCTGCCATGGAAGTCCTACTCACTGCCTTCTCGTGGCGGGGGTGTTGTTTACAAAAATGAGAGGACGAAAAGCGAATGTCCGGCGCTTTAACCGGATCATAAACTGATGGTGCACATGTGCTCCAGTATCCTAAAGGAACAAATGGTGTATGAACCAATCGGTGGTCACTGGTACCAGGTGACTGCATCTCCTTACGATGCTCCACTGCCTTGTGGGCCAGACCTTCAGGTCAAAGGCTCGGGGAGTGGCCCCCTAAGAAAACCACCTGCTTCGGTTTGGGCACCCGGGCAGTATCACAGCCCTCACACATATCGAATGAGATTTGTGTGGCGCATATGTATTTGGTGCCTTCTTGTACCAATATGTGTTAAAATAAATAAATAAATAAATTTTAATATAACTCAGTAACTAAGTACCGACTTGGGTACATGCACATTAAGCAAAGTAAAGTTTTTAATACAAAACAGTAGTTTAGTGGTGAATGAAGGCTTGGCTTCCAACCTTTGGATTGAAAGTTTGGAACCTTCCGACAAGATATAGCTCTGACCTCTGTTGTTTGGGTTATTTGAATATGGATGTTACTCACTTTCTATCCGTGTTCTGATTTTACGAAATATCAAAAGTCCAAAAAATATAAAACAGAACCAGAACACAGCAGAATTCCGTTCTACCCATTTCTACTTAAGCAGCCTAGTAATCTTATTAACCACCACACAAATAATATGGCTAAGTGACGAGTTTATGAACCTATGAACTTGGCAAATAACTAACAATGATATTTCGTAACTGAATTTCAAATAAATTGAACCGATCAAAGAAAAGACTAAGGGAACAAATTCTGAGATTCATAACGCAACTTAGCACATGACATGAATAAAGTCAGTTTACATGAGAATATGAATCCCATTTCGTGTGTAAATCAGGAACCTATCCAACGCACTTACATGTGACGAAATGATCCACACCGACAACCATGAATTAAAACCTAGCATACACAGAATTTTACCTGGCAACTAAATCGTAATCTAAAGCACGGATCTTTGATATAAACTCATTATTGGATCTTGGTCATTTAATTTGAATCAATTTATTACCTCAGTTATCATGATGTAATTGATTCTATATCTATCTGCGTGTTAAACTGAGAGATTATAAACTTGTAATCGCCAACAAGTACCTTGCCTGCCATTTATAATACTCACGTGGCAGCCTATTTACTCCAATTTTAAAAATTCTTCACGGTTTAATGACAAAATCTGAACAAAAATAGCACTATTGACAATTTGGAAATCTACTAGTACTATTATTATATCGTTTGGAAACAAAATTAATGTAATCGATTTTATAAATATAGTTTTTATGCGCTTAACTTTAAGCTGGTAACTCCACTGAGACGGAATTAGACAGAAGGCTTGGGATTATTTTATATTCGCTCATATTAAGTGAGTCAACTATATATGTTGATTGGTTCAATAACAAAAGTTAAGCAACAATTATTTGACTTTTGACTAACCTTAGGCGAAAATTCCTCGCTTACTAATGAAAGAATGAGGGTTGTTTTGCCAACACGAGCTGAAAATTATAAAAAATTAAGTACATATGAAATAACAGAGAAACGATACAGAACTGAGAATAAAATAAATTATTTGCCTAATCACCAGTACAAAAGAAAATGGAAAAGTCAGAATACATTAAGAGTATTCATGTAAAACGATAAAGAGGGTAGATGAAATGTTTTTTGGCTGTTATGTAAATTGATCAGTAATCTACAACTTAAAAGAAATAAATAAGCTATGTGAGAGTATTACATATTTGTAAGCCATGTTGCTAGCATCAAAAAACTATTAGTGAATGATGTCACATAGACAAAATTTTGGAAGATCATACAAAGACGAGGTTATTGCTAATTTCTTTGGTGAATGTTAAAGTGTAGGTTTACTGAAAGAACTACTACTGAGTGACCAAGAGGAATAAAATTCACACAAAAATAATCGGTGATTGTTAAAGTGATAAGAATAGAGAAATGAAGAAGCCATAACGAACAACGGAAGCTGTTTTTTGGAGCATTATTCTACTTAATTCAAAGTTTGTAAAATACTAACATTTAGTTTTGTTTCTGGTTTACTCTATAAACCATAGGCTCTCATTCGATGCAGGATTCACTGACATACCCTTTTTCTATACCAAAATTATTGTAATTTAAACGCAGCAGTTAGTACTTCATTTTTCTACCCCTATGCTTAGTTGCATATGATCGCATTTTTCTAATTTTTTGTGTGTTGTGGGTGTTATTGATCTATCCATTCATATAACTTCTTACATTAATTTGAACTAGGAATAAATCGAGTAGTGTTCCGAATGACTTCTCTTTATCGCCTATCAACAACAATCCGAACTCACGCATTACCAGCCTCAAGGTTGAACAAGTTGGCCTGTCAGGTCAGAATCTTAGACTACATAGGGATAAGTTTCCTCCTGTATATTATTAGGCAGGCGGATCAAGGATGTATCATAGTTTACCAGGAATTTGAGTACTAGATAGATATATGAATGAATCGGAAATGCATTTTCCAAGGTGAACAACTCTGATAACCAGTAAGGAGCCAAAAAGTAGTTGTTTAAAAATAATTAAACCTGAAAAACTGGTAATCGAGTTTAGACATTTTAACACCTCACTAGTTTAAGTTATCCATTTAAATATTAGGGAATGTTTTAATCTTATTACGTGAGGTTGTGCGCTGAATTTAACAAAACCATTTGCCAATGACTAACTAATCTTGCCTAAAAACGACTAGACGATCTTGGAGATACTTGATGAAAACGTTGGAAATCATTATGGATGTGTGTAATGTCAATTGGAACATCGATTTTCAACTAGGTCAAACACCACTTTATAATACACAGCCAAACTTCCATCTTTCCTTCTTCCCTATCTATTTTGTAGGCTAAAATATCTGACATCAACAGTCAAAAACTTAATCTTACACCTATTATTTAAGTTCATACTAAGCTGAACAAGCAGCGCGAAACGTGGAGCTTCAAGTTACTTACTGAATCAAATAATGTCCACAAACATTACTGATAGACTAAAACATGACAAACTGAATTAGACAGAATGAAAAGTCTCTTGAAACGCACTAGTTGATCTATCAAATAGGGGAGTCAAATAAACCACAGTTAAAATGTAGACTGAAAAGATTTCTTCCGAAACATTAATACCTTTAACTTCTTACTTGTAGCACATGTGGAAAGTGACAATACTACCTGACTGCACAAATAACAAACGTACAGCTGAGTTTTAATCCAATATCTAGTTATTGAAGTTGGAGTCCACGAAAACAGAGCTCAATAAGTGGTGTGCAATCTCTTTTTTCTTCCCTAGAGTAATGAGGTCTATGTTCTACTTTGCTCACACAATTTTGCTTATCTAATGTCGACGGGTAAGGTCTTTCAGACTAGTAATGCAGTCATTAAATTCTCATCTAACTAGACGCACAATGTTGGAATAAGAGGTTAACAGATAGAAACAGCCAAAGCAAGACGTGACATCGGTTGATGAAATCAATGGCTATTAGATTGAAGCTTGTCGAAATGCATGCTACCTGAATCGGGTACATGTATCAACCACAACTGGTGGTTGGAGATGGTTCAAAACTGGTCACAGAGTTGAAGATTCACCCACTCTTCATTTTCCTTTCCATCGTGAGCTTTAGTACTAATTCATACATCTGTTTTTTCGAATTATATTTTCAACCTATAGCCTTCGCCAGTATCATTGTTGGTACTATCACTTCGACTTCTCTGCAACTCATCTTTTTAGTTTCATACCGGTGCTAATCCGGTATGATTTAACCAAAACATTTGTACGTACAACTTAACCATTAGTTGTAGACAAAGTCACAATATTCATAAAAACTATGAACTTCGGCAGGTAATTAACGATGTAAACGAAACAACAAACAACACAATGAATATATAAGTTTCAAGCGTAAAGTATAGTCAACGTTTAAATTTTATAGATTATGGAGTTTATCTGCGTAAACGATCCCTGCTACTCTCAAACTGAATACAAACTATATGAAGCGCTATTCAGGTTCCAATGAGAATTATGACAAAAAAGTAGTGAATAACAACGTTGGAATTAAGAGGACAACTTCTTATGATACAAGTAAATGATGAACGGGAACTGAAAGTATGCTTTTGACGGACGCTATCTCTAACGATAAGCATAAGGATTGGTAAAATAATAGATTCACATCGAAACAATCGTTTATGAAATTGTGAAATGGACTTTAGAATTGCTCCCTACGTCCTAAAATCAATATTCATGTCTCATATCATTTCAGTATTTAGACAGAATTCTAAGTATGTCATGTACAACAGACAAGGCTTCAAGATCACATACTAATAATCTGTTCGAGATACTTACGTTCCCCAAGCAACAAAATTCTTACTGCTGAAACACCTTGTGACATTAACAAACTTAGCCACCAGAAGAGTAACGTTAGTCCAAGTAGCGTCAAGTACGAAAACACGCTTTTGTCATGCGAAGTCCAATAGCTTTCAGATTACAGATTCAGACATGTGTTGGGAGGACAAGAAGCCTACGGTCTATGTCAGCCCTTTACTATTCAACTTCCATGACCGTTTAATTTTCTCTTGAATGCGTTAATGTAATATGTGGACACTACTGCTTCGAATAACGGGATCCGAGAATTCATTATTCGGTATGAAAAGCCGTATTCTATGGGTATTTTCCTCGTTCTTGACGCTTCTACTCACCTGCTACGTCTTCCAGGATGTCTTAACCTATTAAGTAGAGAAGGAGAGGATTTATTAGATCGAAAATCACTTCTTACTATTCTATACATCAAAATCAGATTCCCTCTTAATCTGCTATAGGAGAGAGCAAAGAGGTCTAGCTTTTCGAGCCAATCTTTGCACAGTAAACCCTGGGGTTCTAAAATCGCATAAAGGGCAAATATAAATGGTCCAAGTGGTTGTGGACGGAATAAAAGAAGCTTCCGCTCAATGGGCTTCCGTATCTAAAAGCAGTGGATCATCAATAACTTCAGGCAGGAACCTAGGTATTTTAACGATAAAAGAAGAAAAAGAAATTGGTAAATCATAATAAGATATTATTTTTAGTCCTTAACAATATGTCAAGCTTCCTCCTAAAAGACTCCTAGGAAACCGCTTGAACTGGCTCAGCTGGCAACGAATTCCAGCATTTAACAACTCTTAAGGAATAGAAGATTTGTCTGCAGTCCGTTTCGTTGTGTTATGTCTCCTGATTCTGGGCGTTACCTCTTAGGTTTGCATTGTGGCTAAACTTAAGTAGGTGTTTAAAGGGATGTCCAAAAGTGTAGTGTTGTAGGTACTCGGAGCTTCACAAATTTTTTCCTGGAACACCCTTATAATAGAAGCATACCAACCCAGTCAAATCAAAAGTCAGAAATGAAGGGGTTTGAAGATATGTCTGAAAGGATATCGATATATCGAGAAGAGCTTTATCTAAACTAGCTAGCAGTTGTAGGAGGTACGTAGCACGACGTACTCATTCGTGGTCTAGTGCGGACGCATGACCAAACGCTTCCTGACATATCAATAGCTTTCCAAATACATCTTTGAACCATTCCATTTCTGACTTTTGATTTGACTGGGTTGGTGTACTTCGATTATAAGGGTGTTACGGGTAATAAGAGACTCTAAAACCTGCAGCATCTTTAGTGATGATCATAACACAATCTGGTACATTAAACAGTAGACCGTGTGTTTACTCACTGCTGCAACGTTATATATTATTTTTTAGTCTCTATTTTTACGTATAGTAACACTATTTTTGCGTTTTTTGGATTTTTCGCTCATTTGTATATTTTGTCTTTATTACGACGGAACAGAGATCTAAACTTTTAAGGATCAAGACTATTTAACTTCCCATCTTTAAATACATTCCATTCAGGCCCAACAATATAAAAGCCTGGTCTTGATACACAGAAGCTGACTTCCGCGAGCACGGCGAGACAGACCCACGTGCACAATTATTTGCAACAGTGTGGCACTACCGTGCGATTCTAACAGGCACTTCTCATCTAGTATGTTTACTAGTGATGATTCTGAATCTTATGAAAATTTAAAGATGGTTATATCTGAACATGGGAACCAAACCGAACGACAAAGGTTAGACCAGCTTTTCCATAACATTGAGTTGCAACATGGCATTGCTGGTTGCACACAATAATATTTCCCGTTTTTGAAAAGTTCCAGGTTTTTGTCGAGAATTATTTGGAAGCGGGGACCGATTTTATGTTTAATCGTGACTGGGCATAATCTAAAACTGGAAAATGAGGTTTCACAAACACATAATCTATTATTCCCGTCTATTGATATCTGTTTGCGATGATCAGATTACGGTGTTATTGTCATAGGCATAGGAACGTCTTCAACAACAGAAATACAGTGAATAGGTTTGAGTAAACCCACGACATGATAAACTGATCGCTTACCATGTATGGAGATAGGTTTTTCATTTGCCGTTTATAAGTTGAAGACCGGTTCATGCAGACGATCTTCAGTATTTGCGAGAAGAAGGCTTACTTCTGCGCCAGTGATGACGAAATCACAAAATTTCACTGTCCCAGTGATTCGTCAAGCAGCGATCCAGAATTTTTCAAACTTAGTTTATTCTTGTATAAAAACTTTGTATTGGGTTTTTAGCTCATCACACAGATACTGGACATTGGGTTTGATGCTCATGATCCTTTGGAACAAGAGATTCATGTTATTCATAAACACTTGGCGAATGCCTCTCTTATTATGTTTGGACTGAATTCCTGTCGTTTCTTTGTGGCCCTTTCAACACTGCAATCTTGATTTGTCCTTAAGAGAAGTCAAATTCTAGTATCCGCTACCGGCTGGGCTAGTCCAAGCAACTTTTCAGGAGTATTTTGAGAGAAAACTTGACATTGTATCCTAGGCTACTGAAGGAATTATCTAACTTCGTTGCGAAACCTTTAAGTATATGCTTTAATCTATCCGTAACGCAGGGTCGTTTACCAAAAGACTGGAAGAACGCCATAGTAAGTGCTGTCTTCAAAACAGGTACAAAACATTAACCTGAGAATTACCAAGTCGTTAGCCTAGCTAGTGTGGTTGTTAAAATCTTAGAAAAGATTATTCCGAAGGAACTGTTCAAGTATCTCGATGAAAACCGAGTCCTTTCAGAGAAACAGTAAGGTTTCAGAATAGGTTGTTCTTATCTCACTAACTTATTAGTGGCTCGTGAAAGCTGGTGAGCTCTTAAGGACCAAAAGTTACTTGTAGACGTAGCCTTCATTGATTTCAGCAAAGCTTTTGACAAAGTTCCGCACAAACGGCTGTTACATAAGCTAAGAAATGTCAGAACTGGAGGCAATCTATTGACGTGGATAAAAGACTTCCTAGTTGGGCCCCAACAAAGAGTACAGGTGAACTCAAAGTTATTCAGCTAGGAAACTGTGCTTAGTGAAGTACGTCACGGCAAAGTTTTGGGGCCAGTGTTTTTCCTCTTCTATGTAAATGGCCCTCCTCGTCTCCTATCATCTTCGGTCTTGCTATATGCTGACGATGTCAAGATATGGAGAACGATACGATGTAAGGATGATAGCTTAGAACTCCAAAATGACCTGAAGAAATTATCTGAATGGTCTCAAGCCTCGCAGTTGCCAATAAATACTTCCAAGTGTGCTGTGATGCATATCGATCATCAAGGTACAGATACATACACGATGAATAACACTGAGCTACCTGTCGTCCAGACACATATTGACTTAAGAGTCTTCGTTAGTCAAGACCTAAATACTACTGCACACTGCCGTACAATAACCGCCAAAGGTTTTAGAACCTTAGGGTCAATACGTAGGGCTTTAAGTCATGTCGACGCTAAAACGTTTTTGACTTTGTATACAGTGTTCGTACGTCCTAAACTTGAGTACTGCATACAAGCGGCTAGCCCCTGCTTAAAATAAAACAGTGAGCTTCTGGAGAAGGTTCAGAGAACAGCAAATAAGCTGATTCCCGGAATAGCGAAGCTTCCGTATGATGCTTGACTAGCCAAGCTAAACCTTTTTCCGTTGTCATATCGAAGAACTAGAGGCGACTTGATTATAGATTTCTAATTGCTTAGTGATAAATTTGCACCTGATATGCCCTCCTTTTTCTAGTCTTTCGAAACAGAGAACTTACGAGGACACTCCAAAACGTTCACAAGCCCAGAACAAATTACCTGTCAGCTGACTATCGACTTTCCCATCGAATCATCAACGAGTGGAATTCATTACCTCAGCACGTGGTTGAGGCTCCATCCATCGACTCTTTCAAAAGAAAGTTGGATCAACTGAGACACCACCATTGCCAGGACTAACACAGGCCATCAAGCCTCTTGTCCTTTCTAAACTGAAACTGACATTCTAAAGGACTAAGGATAGTATCTTACTATGAGTTACCAATTTCTTTTTCCCTTATTATCGACAATATACTTGGGTTCCTGTCTGCATGTGTTGGTGATCCGCTGCGACTAGATACGGAAGCCCATTAAGCGAAAGATTCTTCTATTCCATCTAAAAACCACTTGAACTATTTGAGGATAGTCTTTCAGCGGATATTCAACTACAGAGTTACTCTTCACATAAATCACATCCTCAAGATTTGGGTAAGTGTACGGGATTTTTGGGGAGACAAGGTTTTTCCCACAAAAGACTGGAAATATTACACATGAATATCAGCTACAGCCATTACATTATCAGTTTTTATGTCGTCAGTAATCTTGACACAATATTAATATTGAAATTTCAATCTTTGGATGTCAGGGGAGATTTTTTATCAGTTTTGGGGAAATTTCGTGAAAAGCACTACATAATAGTTTAAGTAAAGGCGACAAAAACCCAGGATATTTACCTAGTTTTTGGATTTTCTAAAATTTCGAGTTATTTTTGCGAAATCCTCAAAAGCTTTGGGGAAAATCTGAGTTTTCCCCAATATCGAATTTCATACATTTGTATAAAATTCCTCCCAATCAGAAATCGTATGTGATTGGATTCCTGTCATTTCGAAAGTCCCAATGAAAAACTTTTAGTCACGTGTTTATTTGCAAATAAATCCAATCTCACAATTGCATGAAAATTATTAGGAATTGTAGGTTTTTCCTCAAACTCATGAAAATTCGTATTTTCGGGTTGCATTTCCTCGAAATTTTCTATTGTGGCTTCCCCAAAACTGACAAAATTTTCCCAATAATTGGGAGATTGTAAATAAATGTATTCTGACTTCACAAAATACACTAACTGACGCCAAAGCACTTTACTTACTTCACATCTGTTAACAGTGCACTTAAAGGAAACAGGTTCAGAACTGATGTCAAGCTGTTGATCCATGTTCGTCAAAAAAGATGGCATTACTGCGACTTTTTCAAGGAATGTTTCTGCTTCATATCATTGTGTTCATCTTCATGTGAGTCTTGTTTTTGGACCAAAGTACATTACTTATTTGTTCACCCACTAGTTCA